AGTCCCCGCCAGAGAGAAATGGATATTTGCTCTGGGTCCAAGAGAACAGGCTGCTTCCTGTCCTATTTCACAATGCATGGATTAGTCACTGGGTACAGTTCCCGAGTGACAGCCCGGTGCCAGGCCCAGGAGATCCACCGAGCAGCAAACGTGGCCACCAGGGGTGGGGGGGCCTGGTGACACTCATAGTTTCCTAGGAAACACAGACCTGGGGGTTCGGTTTCCTAGGGCTGCCATAATAAATGACCACAAACCGAATGGCCTAAAACAGCAAGAGTTTATTCCCTCACAGTTCTGGCGGCCGGAAGTCTGAAACCAAGGTGCCGGGCAGGGTCAGTTCCTTCTGGAACCTTTGTGGGAGAACCCATGCATGGGTCTCTCCTGGCCTCGGTGGCTCCGGCTGTCCTTAGCGTCCACCACGGTCGTACCCTCCGCCTCCGCCTGTCTCTGCCTCTTCTCCTGCTCTGTCCCTTATAAGGACACAGGACACATGTCGTTGGATTTGAGGGCCACTCTAATCCAGGATGATCTCTCCCCAAGAGCCTTCAGCTAATTCCATCTGCAAAGACACTCATTCCAAGTTAAGGTCACGGCCACAGGCTCTGCGATGTGGATACATTGTTTGGGGTTGGGGGGAAATGCCGCCCACCACACTGACCAACGCACTTCGCATAAGCAAAGAGCTTCCATGGGCAGAGGTCTGGCAGGCCTTGGGCACCCAGGCCAAGGGACAGGAGTTCATCGGGGCTCAGGGATGGGCCACCGGAGCTGAGGGCGCGGACCCAGCTGTGCGCCTCTCCCCGCCCTCCCCAAGGCTGGGTGTGGCTGGAACAGAGACAGCAGGAGAGGCCAGGCGAGGTATGTCCAGAGATGAGCCAGGCCAGGCCCTGCATGCCTGAAGCGGAACAGAAGCTGCCAGTTGGGAGAGGTTGAATCAGGAGGGACACACCAGATTTGCTTTTTCCTGCAAGTCAGAGCCGGGACCCGGGCGATTTGCCTAATGGGGCCCCAACTATCTCCGGGAATATTATGCTGGACACCGCTGTGGCCAGCCCAGACTCCAGAAGAAATGCTGCAACTCACAGGGACAGGTTCTTGGAAGACAGGAGGCTTCCTGGTCGCAGGGGGGTCGTGGGGAGTCCTCTGCAGAGAAGGAACTGACCTGACTCGGGTGCTCACTGGCGCCCTCTGGCTGCTGTGGCGGGGAAGAGCAGAGCCAGAGGACCAGGGAGACAGCGCTGGTCCAGGCCCGACGTGATGGGGTCGGAGCAGGTGGGGGCAGAGGAAGTGATGGAGAAGGACTCAAGATGCTTGCTTTTTTTCCTGTATTTATTTATTCATTCGTTCATTCATTTGAGACAGGGTCTCGCTGTGTGGCTCAGGCTGGAGTGCAGTGGCATCATCATAGCTCACTGCAGCCTCAAACTCCTGGGCTCCAGTGATCCTCCTGCCTCAGCCTCCCAAAATGCTAGGAGGACAGGTGTGAGCCATTGTGCCCGGCATGGAGAGGTGTTTTCCAAAGTGGCACTGATACGATGTGCTGATACATCCGAGCTGGGCTGTGAGAGGAAGGCAGGAATCAGGGCTGACTCCAAGGTTTGGGGCTGGAGCAACTGAAAGACAGCATGGCCATCACCTAGCTGGAGAAGACAGGGTGAAGGGCAGGTTTGGGGGTGTCATTTCGGTTTGAGATGCCCCGAGACATCCTCACAGAGAAAGCGAGTGGGAGGCACGACTCAGGAGTTCACGGAGAAGGGCTGATGCATGCTGGGGCTCAGCACCCATCCGCCTTTGTTGTCACTGCTGCTGCCATTTCTTTCTCTCTGCTGCTGCAAAGGGCCCTCCAGGAAATAGTGTGGCTTACACTGCTGCCGGGTTTCACTGCGACCTCCTAAAAGCCAGCAGTCAAAGGCAGCTGCTAGAGCTGGGGCTGTAACCTGAGGCCCCAAGACTCAGCCCAGTTAGGGCCACCCCTCCGGCACCAGGATCACCACGGCCAGGGCTACCTCCCGCCTTGGTCCACCGTGTCCCCCACATCTCAGGGTCAGGTGCCAAGTTGAAGAAAGTAGAACTCATCCCCCAGAGGGATGCCTCCTGTGCTGGGTTTTAAGGCTCCAAATTCATGAGTCCTGCTGTGCATCCTTGAGCCAGTGGCTAGCTCTTTGAGGCTGTGTGAATATCCACTTCCCCACTGATGAGCCTTGCCTCCAATCAATTATTCCATCGGTGGCTGCAAAATAGCAACCTTTCTTTCTTTCTCTCTCTTTCTTTCTTTCTTTCTTTCTTTCTTTCTTTCTTTCTTTCTTTCTTTCTTTCTTTCTTTCTTTCTTTCTTTCTTTCGATGGAGTCTTGCTCTGTTGCCTTGGCTAGAGTGCTAGAGTGCAGTAGCGTCATCTTAGCTCACTGCAGCCTCAAACTCCTGGGATCCTCCTGCCTCAGTCTCTCGAGTAGCCAGGACTACAGGCATGCACCATGATGCCCAGCTAATAAAATGGTGATTTTTCCAACTCGACCTTTCCTTCTGCGTGTACTAGCTGGCATTCCAGAATGAGAACTTTTTTCCCCCCAAAGGAGCAGAGGAGCAGAGCTCAAGTCTGAGCTCCTCGCCCGCCGGGCCTCCTGACCTCAGTTTTCAGGCGAGCCTCTTGAGCTACAAATCAGGTAGGAGGTGCCCAGCGCGCTCTGTGCCCTTGGGCAATCCCGTCACCCCCTCTCCGGACACTTCCTCATCAGTTAACAAGAGGCAGGTGAATTCTGGCTTAGGGCTCTGCAGCTCACGTCATGGCATCTCCAAGGCCCCGCAGCCGGCCCTCTCCGGGTGTGCGGGGGCAGCTCAGATGCCAGGCGCGAGCAGGGCAGTGGGCACCACACAGGGCACTGGCCCAGCCAAGGCAACTGGTCACTCAGTGCGGGTGGCAGGGGTCAGCAGAACAGGAAGGCAGGGACAATAGCCGTGCCTGTTGCCTGGCCCGCCAGAGCAATCTCAGTGTTTGCCAGCAGGGTGGGGTCAGCCAGGCAGCGCTCAGCGGGTAAGCTCAAAGCCCAATCTTCCCTGTCGCTTCTCGCCTGCCTGCCTCGGTTGGTCCCGGCTGAGGCTGCGATGCAGCCAGCCCTGGGGGCTGCAAGGAGCCAGTCATTCAAGAAAGCTCGAGCACAGTTGCAGCCATCGGAGGCCTCCGAGAACTACAATTCCCAGAACACACAGCGACCTCCCAGTCCAGCCCCAACTGCCCAAGGGGCTGAATTTGAACTAGAACAAGGAAATCTCACCTGTCCTGGGAAGGGAGCGTCCTGGCCTGCTTAAGGTGCATTTGTGGCTTTATTTCTTGGGACCTGCGTTGGCCTGAGAAACCCCGGTTACAAGCTTAACCTGTTGATCGTGTGATTATCTCCTCATAAACTCTGCGGGATCCATTCTTCCAGATAGGTTTGCCCAGACCCTGCTCTGTGCCAGCCTGGGGTGGCGGAGAGTGGTTGACAAGAGAGACTCAGCCTCTGCCCTGGCAGTCAGATGGAGGAGACAGGCCCATGAAAGGTCAGCTCCCTGAGGGCAGAGGCTGGCTGGGGACCTCCTGTGACCTAGCACATGCGAAGCAACAAGTGAATGGACTATCTCCACTCGCCTTCCATTCCACCGTGCCTTCTGCTAGCTGCCACCCTATTGCACCATTCTAGAGCGTGCTGTGTCTCTCTGGCCTCCAGGCCCCTGCACACGCTGTTCCCCCGCCAGGAACACGCGCAGCTTATTCGTTGATGTATCTGCAGAGGTAGGACAGAGCCTGGCACGGAGCAGGGGCCACATTAAATACTAGATGCGTGAATGGACGGATGGATGGATGCCTTTGTCCATTGTGTACCCCAGGAAGCAGGGACACTCGGGACCCTCCCTATTCATCTCGGCCCCCCGCCTGCCCGCCCGGAATGAATGCATCTTTTCATCCCTGGGAGGACGGCCCGGCTGGGGCAGAGGAGGCCGGGCGGGGAACTGGGCTGGGGGCTGCCACAGGCGCCTCCCCGCACGTCTCCTAAAGTGCCCACTTCCCCGGATGTCAGGAGTTCGCATCCTCTCCCCGAAACCCGGCCTCGGTCACCTGACTCGCACGGCCCGGCCCCCGGCCCCCACCTCCCCGGGCACCCGGGACTGACACTCGGCCGGCAGCACGTGGTGCAGGGGCCCCAGGCTCCCATTGGCCGCGCGCCGCCCTCGCTCCGCGGCGACTGGCAGGCGCGCTGCGCCCCCGTGCGCGGCGGCGCGGTGGTACAGCCCCGCGGCCGGCGGGCGGAGCGGCCCACTGCGCCGGGGCGCGGGGGCGCCGGGAAGCCGGCGCGCGGAGGGATCCCTCTGGAATGTGTCCGCCGGTCCCACCCGAAGCGGGCCGCCGCCGATTGGCCGAGCGCCGCAGGCCGCCGCCGCCATTGTCGGCCGCCGGCGCCGCCGCCCGCCCCGCCGCCGCTGCGGGAGAGGCCCGGCCGAGTTTGCGGAGGGCGAGCCGGCGCGCGGCGGCGGGCGGCGGCGGCGCGCAGGTGAGTGGCCCGCGGGCCGGGGCGGCCGCCGGGGACCGGCGCGGCCGCGGGGCGGCCGGTCGCGCAGGCGGGGCGCGCGGAGGGTCCGGGCCGGCCGGGATGCCCGAGGCCCCCTCTCTGCGGGCCAGCTCCCTTCCCGCCGCCGGGCGGCCGTCTCCCGCCCCTGCCCCGTCCCCCCTCCGGACAGTGCCCGTCCCGGCGGGGCCAGGCGCGGGGTCGGCACTTCTGACCCCTGCCCGGGCTCCTCCCCCGCGAGCTGACCCGGCGTCTGAACGCCCCGGGGCCTGGGGGGACGCGGTGAGGACCGAGCTTTGGAGGATCCCAATGCGAGGAACGCACCCCAGCTAGCATGTATCGAGCGCTTCCGTGTCACGCATTTCCCATGCGGATCACTGAATCAAAGCACCTCATGGGAGGTGCTGCTACTTCTTTTAGAGGTGAGGCAGCAGACCCAGAGAGGTGGAGTGACTTGCCCAAGGTCACACAGCTCGCTAGTGGCAGATCCGGGACTGGAGCTCATGCCTCAGAGTCTAGAACTGGAGTCCCAACCACTAGACTGGATGCCCAGTGGCTCCATGGCCCCAGTGTTCCTGACCAGCCCCTTCCCACCCACCTCCCCACCTCATACTCGCCATCTGGGCCACACCTGCTGGTCTTTGCTTCCTCCCCTGCCCCTCCCAACCCCCAGAGGTTGCCAGACACCAGTTGCTCCAACAGGAAGCTGCCTCCACTCCTTTCTCTCCTGAATTGGAAAGGGGAGGCCCGAATACCTGAGAAGAGAGTGACATGCCCGGTGGAGACGGGCAGGGGGCCAGGATGCTGGGGTCCTGGGGCCACTGGGTCCCCCAGGCAGCGGGGGCCAAGGCTGGGCAGTAGGCGTTCTCCCCGGAAACACCCAGGAGCCGGTTTTTCAAGAGTGAATCAGAGGCCTCCTTCTCTCCAAAGCAACACCTTGCTGGAAGGGGGAGCCTGGGCGTGGTGTCCCCCACCTCCACTAGCTGATGGGAGCTCCCGGGAACTCCCTTCCCCTCTTCCTGCTCCCCCCGCTGCGCTTCTGTGGGACTGTGAGGTCCTTCCCAAGGACGGAGTGCCGAAATTCCAGCCCACAAACTCGGTGCCCAGGCTAAAGTTGCTCTTCTTCGCCCCTGTGCTCCGGTGTGAGGGGACAGGGAAAGCCTGGAGGCCATGAGAGTTAGCGACCCCACAGCAGGCGTGTGCTGGGGGGCTCTTTCGAGGATGAGGGGGGCTCCAAGAGCAATCACAATGAGGACATATGCCACGTTCATTCATTCTACACATACTTGCTGAGCACCTACTATGCACCAGGCACTGTTGTTGGCACAGAGGATGTGGTAATAAAAAAGACAAAAATTCCTGCTTTTGGGGAGTTGGCATTCTCATGGGGGGAGACAGGCAGCAGACAAGGTAGCAAGTAAATGAAGAAGATAATTTCAGATTGCGTTAAGTGCTGTGAACAAAGTAAGAGGGGGCAGCATGACAGAGTAGTTGTGGGCAGGGGACGCTCTTGGGCTGAGGTCCGGATGACAAAAGGAGCCGGCCCTACAGCAATCGGGCAAGGGGCACGGCCAGGGCAAAGGCCTTGAGGCTGGACCCAGCTTGGAACAGCGCTTCTGGGCAGAAGACGAAGCCAGAGCCACGATTCTGCAGGGCTTTGTGGGGCAGAGTAAGGAGGTTGGAGTTTTCCCTCTGGAAGGTGGGAAACCGTTGTAAGGTTTCAGGCAGGGGAGTGATGCCATCTGGTTTACGTTTTAAAATAGAGACACGAAGTTAAATAACAGCCTGAGACTGGAAGACAAGAGTTCTGCTAGAACAGCATGTAATTAAGCTCATGGGCCTGAGCTGCCTATACCACAGGGGCGGTTCCAACAGGCCGGGGCAAGCCAGGAAGGCTGCCTGGAGGAGTTGGCCTGAGTAGGCCTTGGCAGGCAGAAACGGCTGGGATATTCCTGGGCTAGGAAGGGGAGGAGGCAATAATACCAATGACAATAATAATAACAGCTTCCTTAAATGGAGTCTGGGGCACAGTGCTGGGCCGGTTGCATGCATAATCTCTTTGCATTTCCACAAGCACCCTGACGGACAAGAATTCTGCCCATTTTTCAGATGAGGACACTGAGGCCCTGTGAATGAAGTGACTCGTGCACGGCCACGAAGCTGGTAAGGAGCAGGAGCGGGATTCGAACCCAGGCTGCGAGGCCTCTTATGGCCTGGAAGGCAAATTCATTAATCCCCCACTTTCCTCACTACTGTTATTCCCGCCTTCACAGGTGAGGACACAGGAGCCGGCTTGAACCGGGGCAGTGGGTGTGGGCAGAGAGAGCGAGGAGATGGGGAGGTGACAACGGGGGAAAAGTGATTTTATCCCAGGTGAGGGAGGAGCCCTGAGAGGGGTCAGAGCAGAGACAGAAGCGATGCGGCTTACTCTTCACAGGGTCATTCTGGCTGCCGGCTTGACGAGAAGCTGTGGGGCGCACGTGGGAGGCGGGGAACCCGCGAGAGGCCACCGCGCTGGTCTAGGTGAGTGATGATGGGGCCGGACCAGCCGATGTCAGAGGAGGTGTTAGAAGACAGGCGAATGAATGAATGAATGTATGAATGAACACATGGATGCCCAGGGATAGGTACAGCCACCTGGGCTCAGCTGAATCCAGGTTGGCCCCCTGGAAGAGACAGTCTGAAAGGAGGGACCAGGAAGCCCCCTTTTCACAGAAAAGTATAATCTGGTGTGTAATTCGAACCTCACCACCAGCAGGGAAAGTGCTGGAATATCCTCCCCTGCAGACCAGGCACCTGCAGCCCTAGAGATGGCGTCGCTGAGGGGTACCTTCGTGGTTACGCAGGTGGCCCGGGGAGTCAGACAGACCTGGGGACACATCCACCTTCTGTGACTTTGGATGTGTGATTTAACAGTGAAATCCGAACTCTTCCCCGATCTGTAAGGCTCCCGGGGAGTTTGTCCCTGTCACCTCTTTTCCCTCCCGCGGTCACATTCTCCCCTTCGTTCATTCCCCTGCAGCCGTACTGGGCTCCCAGCTGATCTGCGAGCCCGAGGCAGGGCACGTCCCTCCTCTGCTCAGCACCCTCCGTGGCTCCCACCTCACTTGGGATAAAAGCCAACATCCCCCCGGAGGTCCAGAGGCCCTGCTGTTCTGCTCCCGTCTTTGTCCATCGTGTCGTGCTGCAGGAGAATAGGCGGGATGGGCTAACGCAGCTCTCCAGCCCGAGCAGTTCAAGGGCATGGCGCTGCTTCTGGCGGGGGCTGCGTCACAGCGTGGTGGGGAAGGTCAGAGGGGAGGCGGGCACGTGCAAGGAGAAGGAAACCTGAGGAGCGCCCGGGTTTATAACAACCCACTCCCCCAGGAACTGGTCCGTCCTCTTGAGAACTCGTTCAAGGGAGAGAGAACTCACTCACAACCTCAAGAACGGCACCAAGCCATTCATAAGGGACCCGCCCCCAGGACCCAAACACCTTCTACCAGGCCCCACCTCCCAACACTGCCACTTTAGGGATCCAATTCCAGCATGTGGTTTTTTTTTTGGTGGAAACAGACAAACCGTCTCCAAACTATAGCAACCCTGTTACCTTCCTGCCCTCCCCTCCTCCTCCCTCTATCCCCCTCACTTACTCTGTTCCAGCTACATGGGCCTCCTCGCTGTTCCAACGGCCTTTGTACTGGCTGTTCCCTCTGCCCGGAATGTTCTTGCCCCAAAGGCTGGCATGGGTGCTTTCCCCTGTCATTCAGCTCTGAGGTTGAGCTTCACTTGCTCAGAGAGACCCTCCTCGACCTTGTCTGTAGAACTCGTCTTGCTTTTTTGTCTTGCTAGCACTATTAGAAATTGTATTAGACATTGACACATTTGCTTGTTAACTGCACATCTCTCTCTGGACTGTACCCTTCTGGAGGGCCGGGACAGAGGCCCAGCTAGCCTGTATGGCACCTGCGAGTAAATTAGATAGGTAGCTCTCCCTCCCAGCTGACCAGACCACACCAAGGAATGTAGCTTGGCAGGCAGAGCCCACAATGAATTTTAATCCCACTTGCCACCTTGGTCTGGTGCTTTTGCACAGTGCACAACCCACGTAACCGCACGTGGTGGCCCTACTCAGGGATCTTGCTTGTCTTATTAAAGGCAACATCTAAAATGGTGCATTAGCTGGGTGTGGTGGCTCACGCCTGTAATCCTAGCACTCTGGGAGGCTGAGGCGGGAGGATCTCTTGAGCTCAGGAGTTCAAGACCAGCGTGAGCAAGAGCGAGACCCTGTTTCTAGCCAGTCCAGAAATTAGCTGGACAACTAAAAAAAAATATATATATATATATATATATAAATTTGCCAGGCATGGTAGCACATGCCTGTAGTCACAGCTACTCAAGAGGCTGAAGCAGGAGGATCTCTTGAGCTCAGGTGTTCAAGACCAGCCTGAGCAAGAGCGAGACCCTGTCTCTAGTCAGTCCAGAAATTAGCTGGACAACTAAAAAAAAAAAAAAAATATATATATATATATTATATATATAAAATTGCCAGGCATGGCAGCACATGCCTGTAGTCACAGCTATTCAAGAGGCTGAAGCAGGAGGATCTCTTGAGCCCAGGAACTTGAGGTTGCACTGAGCTACAATGATGCTACTGCACTCTACCCAGGCTGACAGAGCAAGACCTCTGTCTCAAATAAGTAAAATAAAATGATGCATGGAATAGGCTGGGCGTGGTGGCTCACGCCTGTAATCCTAGCACTCTGAGAGGCCGAGGCGGGCAGATTGCTCGAGGTGAGGAGTTCAAAACCAGCCTGAGCAAGAGCGAGACCCCGTCTCTACTATAAACAGAAAGAATTAATTGGCCAACTAATATATATAGAAATGAGCCGGGCATGGTGGCACATGCCTGTAGTCCCAGCTACTCAGGAGGCTGAGGCAGGAGGATCGCTTGAGCCCAGGAGTTTGAGGTTGCTGTGAGCTAGGCTGACGCCACGGCACTCACTCCAGCCTGGCCAACAAAGTGAGACTCTGTCTCAAAAAATAAAAAAGTAAAATAAAATAAAATGATGCATGGAATATGTTAAACACTCACAAAAGAAAAAAAGTTTGAAGGGAGGGAGGAAGGAGAAAAGAAATAGAGAAGGAAAGGAAAGAAAAAAGGTATGTCCATCAGGACGGGTTTTGTTGTAGTAACAAGCAACCCCAAATCTTAGTGGCTGAACTCAACAAAAGTTTATTTTTGGTTCCTGCTACAGTTCCATTGCAGCTCGGCAGGTGAGCTGCATTCGTTGTCATCAGTCAAGGTGTGACCTGATTGAGTCTCCACCGTACCGAACGCGGCTGCTCATCCCGCCCAAGAGCGATGGAGTTATGGAGGCCCACACTCTGGCAATTAAATGCTTCAGCCCAGAAGGGTCATAGGTTGCTTCCTCTCGTGCCCGATTGGCCAGAACTAGTCATTTACCTGCCCAGTCACGAGGGGGTCGGGAAGGGCCATCCCCTGCATGCATTCAAGAGGGAAGAATCAGAAATTTTTGCACACAGCATTGAGTGACAGACAAAGAGAAGTCGCTCTGCGTGATTTAATCACCTTGAACCTCCATTTTCTCCTCCGTTAAATGGGCACGATGACAACGTATTGTGCTCTGTGCCCATACTACAGTGTGGTAAAGGATTAGGGAAGATCACAAGCGTTAGGGTGGGGGTGTAATAGATACTAAGTGTTGTTGTTACTGCTTTCTGTGCAAGTGTGCAAATACCGACACCAGGGTCTGAACTGAGGCGAGTTTGTTCCGAGTACTTCATTGGGCCTGTCTGATGCCAGGAGAGACGGAGGAGTACCGAGGCCACTGCCCAGCCCTGAGCCCTGCTTTCTGTCCTGCAGGTCTTCCGGCCGTGCCCCTACTTCTCGCTGCCCATGCCGCTGGGACTGGGGCGGCGGAAAAAGGCGCCGCCTTTGGTAGAAAATGAGGAGGCCGAGCCAGGCCGGGGCGGGCTGGGCGTGGGGGAGCTGGGGCCCCTGGGCGGAGGTGGGGCAGGGGGGCCCCAAATGGGTTTGCCCCCCCCACCCCCAGCCCTGCGGCCCCGCCTCGTGTTCCACACCCAGCTGGCCCACGGCAGCCCCACGGGCCGCATCGAGGGCTTCACCAACGTCAAGGAGCTGTACGGCAAGATCGCCGAGGCCTTCCGCCTGCCAACTGCCGAGGTACCCGCTGGGGAGTGGGCACCAGGGTCCCTGAGGGGGCTACAGGCCTGGGCTGGCACCCTGTTGGTGAGCTGGGGCTTGGATGCTGGGGCTGCAGGTGCTGAGGTCTGTGCCCCAGTGCATTGTCGGGAGTTGGAGGCCAGTGCTGGATGCTGACTTCCCATCAGACATCGGGAGGCCTGTGCCCCAGTGGATTGTGGGGACAGATGGCCAGGGCTGGATGCTGAGTTCCCATCAGGCACTGGGAAGCCTGCACCCCAGTGGATTGTGGGGGCTGATGGCCAGGTCTAGAAGCTGAGTTCCCATCATGCACTGGGAAGCCAGTGCCCCAGTGGATTACGGAGGCTGATGGCCTCCATAACAGATGCTGAGTTTCCTTAAAGCCTTGGGAGGCCTGCACCCCAGTAGATTGTGGGAGGCCAATGGCCACAGCTGAATGCTGAGCTCTTATCACGTACTGGGAACCGGTACCTCAGTGGTCTGTGGGAACTGATGGATGCTGAATTCCCATAAGGCACTGGGAGGCCTGCACTCCAGTGGATTGTGGGAGCTGATAGCTAGGGCTGGATACTGAGTTCCCATTGGGCACTGGGAGGTCTGTAATCGAGTGAACTACGGAAAACTGGAGGCCAAGGCAGGATGCTGAGTTCCCATCAGGCACTGGGATCCTGTGCCCTGATGGATTGTGGGAGCTGATTGCCAGGGATGGGTGCTGAGTTCCCATCAGGCATTGGGAGGCCTGGACCCCAGTAGATTATGGAGGCTAGAGATCAGATGCAAGATGTACTTTCCAGGCTGGGCGTGGTGGCTCATGTCTATAATCCTAGCACCCTGGGAGGCTGAGGCGGGTGAATCGCTCAAGGTTAGGAGTTCAAAACCAGCCGGAGCAAGAGCAAGACCCCATTGCTACTAAAAATAGAAAGAAATTAATTGGACAACTAAAAATATAGGCCGGGCGCGGTGGCTCACGCCTGTAATCCTAGCTCTCAGGGAGGCCGAGGCGGGCAGATCGTTTGAGCTCAGGAGTTCGAAACCAACCTGAGCAAGAGCAAGACCCCTGTCTCTACTATAAATAGAAACAAATTAATTGGCCAACTAATATATATAGAAAAAATTAACCGGGCATGGTGGCGCATGCCTGTAGTCCCAGCTACTTGGGAGGCTGAGGCAGGAGGATCGCTTGAGCCCAGGAGTTTGAGGTTGCTGTGAGCCAGGCTGACATCCTGGCACTCTAGCCCAGGCAACAGAGTGAGACTCTGTCTCAAAAAAAAAAAAAGATGTACTTTCCAATGATGCATTGGGACACCTGACCCCAAGGACTGTGGGGGTGGGAGGAGGGAGGCAAGGAGGGCAGCAGGGGGGTTGAGCAGGGAGTAGTTGCTCAACTACTCTTACTATAAATAGAAAGAAATTAATTGGCCAACTAATATATATAGAAAAAAATTAGCCGGGCATGGTGGCGCATGCCTGTAGTCCCAGCTACTCGGGAGGGTGGAGGACTGTGCCTTCCCCAAGCATTCACTGAGCACCTGCCATGTGTCAGGCTCTGCCCCCTGGAAACAGCAGTAAGTTTTTGCTGACGCAGAAATCCTCGTCCCAGCAGAGCTGGCGTGCTAACGGGGGCCGCCCTGCCCCGGCTCAGGGCGTGGGCAGGCGCTGGACGGAGCCCCCCAGCCCGATCCCAGCTCTCTGGGAGGCCGAGGCGGGTGGATAAGGTGAGCGTTGAGTGTCCCCCGCCCTTGCAGGTGATGTTCTGCACCCTCAACACCCACAAAGTGGACATGGACAAGCTGCTGGGCGGCCAGATTGGCCTGGAGGACTTCATCTTTGCCCACGTCAAGGGGCAGCGCAAGGAGGTGGAGGTATTCAAGTCGGAGGACGCGCTGGGGCTCACCATCACGGACAACGGGGCCGGCTATGCCTTCATCAAGGTGGGTGGCCGGGGCTCCGCGCGGGCCTCGGGGCCAGGGCGGGTCATGGGACGCCCGGGCGGAGCCAGAGGGGCCGCTGACACCCCGTGTCCCCATAGCGCATCAAGGAGGGCAGTGTGATCGACCACATCCAGCTCATCAGCGTGGGCGACATGATCGAGGCCATCAACGGGCAGAGCCTGTTGGGCTGCCGGCACTACGAGGTGGCCCGGCTGCTCAAGGAGCTGCCCCGGGGCCGCACCTTCACGCTGAAGCTCACGGAGCCCCGCAAGGCCTTCGGTGAGGGGCTGCCTGCCACCTGGACCTCCAAAGCCCCTCTGCCCGGGTGGGGTCCGGCTGCGGCGCTGGGGGCTGCCAGCAGGTGGCGCCCAAGCCCCGCCGCCTGCAGAGATTTGGGGGGGTGCCGCTGCGCCCTGCTCCGGGAGGGGGTGCTGGCTGTCCGCCCAGCCTGGGAGAAGGGCGGGGGCGAGGAGGAAGTTGCCCCCACACCCAGTTTCCAGCAGCCATTAGCCCAGCCAAGCGCCCCCAGCCCCGAGAAGCCAGGCTTGGCTGCCTCGCGCCCCCCCTCCCCACCTCCCCGCTTCTGCATCTGGCTTCGCTGACTCTCAGGAATGGGCCCGAGGCCTCTGCGGCGGGGGTGGGGGACCCAGTCGCTTTCCCGGGCAGGTAGGCCCGGGCTGTGGCGCAGCGCCGCACCCCCTCGGCCCCCACACACCCCCGCTTGGCGAGAGGAGGGTAGCTGGAGACCCAGGCCCCCAGCCCCTCCATCCCTGCCCCCGAAGCCAGCAGACATGGCCTCTGCAGCCTCCCTCCTGCGTTTCCCATTGCTGATCCCTGACCACCTCCGTGCCATGCCTGCCCTCCCGCGACCCCCTCAGCCTCTAACCCCCAGAGCAGCTCGGGGAAGGTTGGGGGGCAGGGTGTCTACGGCCAGCATGGCTGGGTTCCTGCCCAGACCCCGCTGAAATCGAGCCTCCCCCATCCTCACCCCTTCCCTGCCTCCCGCAGACATGATCGGCCAGCGCTCAGGGGGTGGCCGCCCCGGCTCTGGCGCGCAGCTGGGCACAGGCCGCGGGACCCTCCGGCTGCGGTCCCGGGGCCCCGCCACGGTGGAGGACCTGGTGAGTGACCCGGCCCCCCTCGGGCCTGCGCTTCCCTGGGGGCAGCGTGACCTGTTAGGGCGAGGGGCTCTGCACAGACAATCTGGACTCAGATCCAGTTCTGCCACCTCCCAGGGCCCTTCCTTGGGCAAGTGGGCCTCGGTTTCCCCATCAGTAAAATGGGGACGAAAATAACATGGATGCTTTCCTCACTGGGTTGTTGTGAGGACTAAGTATGTGCTTGTGTACAGTGATGGCAAGGGCACCCCGCACTTGATAGGTACGGTTACTTAGTTCATGTTATGATGATGTCACTGTCCCCCCCCCACCGCCACCTCAGCCCTCCGCCTTTGAGGAGAAGGCGATCGAGAAGGTCGACGACCTGCTGGAGAGCTACATGGGCATCAGGGACACGGAGCTGGGTGAGTGGCGGGGACCTGGTCTGGGTGTGGGTGGGGGTTCTAGGTCTGGTGGGGGCTGAGTCTCCTCTGAGCCCCCCTCCCCCGCCCCTGGGCCATCTGTGCCTCCGTTCTGCCCCGCCCCCAACAGCGGCCACCATGGTGGAGCTGGGGAAGGACAAAAGGAACCCGGACGAGCTGGCCGAGGCCCTGGACGAGCGGCTGGGGGACTTCGCCTTCCCCGATGAGTTCGTCTTTGACGTCTGGGGCGCCATCGGGGACGCCAAGGTCGGCCGCTACTAGGACTCCCCCGCTGGACCTCCCGGCGATGCCCCGGGCCCCGCCTGGTCAGGAGCCCCCGAGAGGGGACACCCGGGCCCAGGCCCACGTGTCTGGCTTGGGCCGAGTTCGGCAGCCCCAGGGCCACGTGGAGGGAGGCGGGCCGGGCCCCCGCCCCACTGCTGTCGGTACCACCCCGTTCCTGGCTGGGGCCCCCCGGACCCCTGCCCGTTCCCCACCTACCTCAGCCGGGTCAGGCTCGGGAGGGGTTGGCCAAGTTGGGCAGCCGCCCCCGCCTTCCACACTTTCCGCCATCAGCTGCCAAACTGGTCCCTCTGTCTCCCTGGGGCCTCGGGCTCTGTTTGGGGGTGGTGACCTTCCTAGTTTCCTGATGCAGGGAATACGGGGTGGGTGCCCCCCCCCAGCAAATGCAATAATACCCTCCCCCTCCACTGCCCCCCTCCCGAGAGGAGCCCCCTCCCCGTGGAGTCTGTTACCTCCGCATTTGAAATGAGTCTGCTGTGAACCCCAACCTCCTCCCCACCCCACCCCCACCTCTCCCTCAGGGCCCGGCCTGGGACCGAGCAGGGGAGAGGTGGGCTTTTGTATCTGGATTTGCTGTCTTGGACATAAAGACTCTATCCGCTGTCGGACCTGTGTGCTTTGGGGGGGCCGGGGCCAGGAAAGAATGCGGCAGCTGAAATCCATCTTCCCCGGCTCCAAATCGAATTAGGAGCTGGCCCCGGGCCGCCCACCCCCTCCCACTGCTCCTGGCTGCGGGCCACCAGGCTTCCGGGCAAGACCCGAGCTTCCTGGCCTACTGAGGGTTCAAATCCAGCCCTTTCTCGAACAAGGCCTCCCACCCGCCCCCGCCCTGGGTGAGCAGTGGGCAGGAGGCTGTTGTGCTGGGCCGGTGACAACCTGGAGCCACGGGGCGCCCCAGGGCATCGAGGCCTGGCTTGGGAAAAAGAAAGATGGCGCCTGAGGCCTGTGGAGCCCCACCCACGAGGGGCAGGAGGGGTGGGGGACGGTGGCAATGCAGCCCCCGGCCCAGCCCTGCTGACGGGCCCGCAGGCACCCGGGCTGCGCGATTCTTCCCGCAGGACCTGACCCCAGCGCTTGTTTTGACAAGCCTCTTCGTCCTGGAGGATGGAGGGGCCACCCTGGGAAGGGGGCTGGGCCCCGGGCCAGGCCTGGAGGGAAGGGAGAAGACGGCAGTGAGGGGAGCTGGGCCAGGCTCCCGCAGGAATGCTGGGGGGGCCGAGAGGCTGCAGGGAGGTCCGAGCCCAGCCCGTGCTCCCCACGAGCCGGGGAAATGGGGGGGCGCCGGGCGGGCTCGAGCACAGGCCTGCGGTTCTGTTCGTGGGGTGGGTGGGGCAGGGAGCTGCTGTCAGGGTGACCCGCGGCATGCCTGGGCACCCGTGGGCCCCTCGTGTGTCTGCTCCGAGCCGGCTATGGTGGAGAGCAGGTGTGGCCACATGGGACTGGGTGTCTGTCGCGCCCACGGCTGTGACTCGTGTCTGTGTTACGGGTCAGGGATGTGGCGACTGTGTTCTGGGTGTAACTGGCAGAGTCTGGTGTTGGGGACAGTGACGGTGCGGCTGGGTCTTGGGGTGTCCAGGGCTGTGACTGGCTTGGTCGGGGGTATCCGGGCTGTGAGTGTATGTCTCAGGCTGTTGCCGCTTCTGGGGTCAGGGGTGAATGGCGAGGTCTGGGGGTACCCTGCAGCGTGGGCATGTGTGTGTCAGGGAGTGACCATTTCTGAGGGGAGGGGAGGTGGCCAGCTAGATCTCAGGTGTTCAGGGGGTGCCACTCCTTGTGTCTTGGGTGTACAGAGTGTCTCGGGCCTCTCTTGGATTGTAGCGGGGAGTCTCCGGGTGACCATGGGGCTCACTCAGCAGTAAGGACTGTACGTGTCTCAGGGTGCCAAGTGACACTCCACTTCCCAGCACTGAGCAGTGTGATGGGAGGGTCTTGTCATGGGGCTTTCCCAGGGGGCTGCACTTTGGGGTGTGGAGGGAAGTGGCTGCTGTTAGAAGCAGCAGCTACGGGCCGGGCGGGGTGGCTCACGCCTGTAACCCTAGCACTCTGGGAGGCCGGGGCGGGCAGATTGCTTGAGGTCAGGAGTTCGAAACCAGCCTGAGCAAGAGCGAGACCCCGTCTCTACTATAAATAGAAAGAAATTAATTGGCCAACTAATATATATAGAAAAAAATTAGCTGGGCATGGTGGCGCATGCCTGTAGTCCCAGCTACTCGGGAGGCTGAGGCAGGAGGATCAGTTGAGCCCAGGAGTTGGAGGTTGCTGTGAGCGAGGCTGACACCACGGCATTCACTCTAGCCTGGGCAACAAAGCGAGACTCTGTCTCAGAAACAAACAAAAAGAAGTGGCAGCTACGGGTGCCTGTCCGGCACTGGGGTGACACGCTCATTGAGTTCAGGGGTGTGAAGGCGGCGCCTGGCCGCTGCTGAGATGGGACAGGCTGCAACAGAGGCTGGGACTCAGGGTGTGAGACCGCGCCTGCCCTACTTCCAGGGCAGGAGGTGAGGCGGCAGCTATGTGCTGTCCAGGTTTGAGGGCGTGACTGTCTCTGTGGCTTGGGACACGTGTCCAGGTGTTACTGAGCCCATCCTAAAGCAGGGTCTAGATGGCAGGGACAGAGAGTCCCCTGGTCGGCCAGGCCTCCTGGTTCCCCTGCCCCCCTGCAGCCAGCTCTCCCTCCCTCCCTCTCGGGGTGTGATTCGCTGTGGCCCTGGTCCGGGCTTAAGCCCCTGTGTAAATAATGGGCGGGTCCCCCAGCCAGGCCGGCCTGGCCCTCGCCTGCCCACCCTCGGCTCTGCCCACCACCCACCCCGACATCCAGCCAGGCTCTGGCAGGCCAGGGGGCGTTGCTGCCCCCAAGCAGGGTTAAGGTTAGCGCCCCCAATCCCAAAGCCCAGTGGGGGGCGGTGGGGGGGGATAAGCGACACCCCCTGCAGGCGCCCCAGCCTGCCCCGGGCGAGGCTCACATTTTCCAGTGTTTAGATTTTATCCGCTTTATTAATGAGGCAGGCCAGAAGCCCGAGCGCCTGGGGGGAAGGGGCTGCGCTGGCCACCCTGGGTGCTGGTCGCAGGGGCCCGGGCCCACGCCCAGGGAGCCTCCCTCCTTGTGGGGGGGTCGGGGCCTGAGCGGCCCCGCCCGCTGCCAGGAGCACAGAGGGGCTCTGCCACTCCAGGTTCCCAGCGGGCGGGCGTGGGCTCGGCGGACCGGCCCCTGGAGGCCAGGAAGGGCGGCGGGAGGAGCGAGGAGCCGCCCCAGGAAGAGGGAGGGAGGGAGCGGCCTGCCCAGAGCCCGGGCGCAGCAGCAGGCGCTGCGGGGCGCGGGCACGGCGGCTCAGGGGCTGAGCGGCCGGCGATGGGGACCCGGCACCCCAGGCAGCGCCGGGTAAGCAGGTTGGGGCACGCAGGGTCTCTGGGGGGGCAGAGGAGGGCATGCAGGGACGGCGGCTGCCTCAGTCTGTCCGTCCTGTGTTCCTTGGCTCTCAGCCCCCATCGGTCTGTCGTCTGTCCACCTTCCCTTCCCACCTGGCCTGCGGGCACCTCCGCGCTGGCAGCCCTCACCGCGGCCGCACGGAGGAAGGGGTGGTCCTGGGGCTGGGACGTGGGGCGGAACCATGGGCATCCAGGCTGAGGCAGAGGTGATCGGAGTAGGGGCTGGGTGACAACAGTGGAGCACGGAGACGGGGCCCTGAGGACAGCACAGTGCCATGGGGGTCAGCGTGGGTCCACGGTGACCGGGACATGGCCACGGGAGACAGCCAGTGCCAAGGGGCGAGATGTGCCCATGGCTGGGGCCGTCGAGGGTGGGACTGGAATAAAGGCGACATGGGGTGGCAGGATCCGATAGGGCCTGTGGAGGGGGAGCTAGGTGCCAGAGCAGATGGGTGGAGAGAGGCAGAGGAGGAGGAGGCGGTGAGAAAGGAGTGCCCAAGGTCATTTGGAGTTGCCGCCGGCGGGCAGAGGAGCAGCAGAAGAACCTGTGGAGTCCGAGGGGCCCTGAAGATCGGAGATGGGACCGCCTGGGGCCTCCCCGGGCCTCACTTTGCCCTCCTCTCCTCCACCCAGCGCCCCCGGCACCTGACATGAGCCCCTGTGGGCCCCTCAACCTGAGCCTGGCCGGCGAGGCGACCACGTGCGCGGCGCCCGGGGGCCCCAACGCCTCGGCCGCGCCGCCGTCGGTGGGCTCCGGCGCGTCGCCCGCGCTGCCCATCTTCTCCATGACGCTGGGCGCTGTGTCCAACGTGCTGGCGCTGGCGCTGCTGGCCCAGGCCGCGGGCCGCCTGCGGCGCCGCCGCTCAGCCGCCACCTTCCTTCTGTTCGTCGCCAGCCTGCTGGTCACCGACCTGGCGGGCCACGTGATCCCGGGCGCGCTGGTGCTGCGCCTCTACGCCACCGGGCGCGCTCCGGCCGGTGCAGCCTGCCACTTCCTGGGCGGCTGCATGGTCTTCTTCGGCCTGTGCCCGCTGCTCCTGGGCTGCGGCATGGCGGTGGAGCGCTGGGTGGGCGTCACGCGGCCGCTGCTCCACGCGGCCCGGGTCTCGGCGGCCCGCGCGCGCCTGGCGCTGGCCGCTCTGGCCGCCGTGGCCCTGGCCGTGGCGCTGCTGCCGCTGGCGCGCGTGGGCCGCTACGAGCTGCAGTACCCCGGCACCTGGTGCTTCATCGGCCTGGGCCCGCCGGGCGGCTGGCGCCAGGCGCTGCTCGCGGGCCTCTTCGCCGGCCTCGGCCTGGCCGCGCTCCTCGCCGCGCTCGCGTGCAACACGCTGAGCGGCCTGACCCTGCTGCGCGCCCGCTGGCGCCGCCGCTCCGGACGGTTCCCCTCGGCCTCGGGCCCCGACAGCCGCCGTCGCTGGGGGTCGCGCGGACCCCGCTCGGCGTCCTCCTCGTCCGCCTCGTCCGTCGCTTCGGCCTCCGGCGCCTTTGGCGGCTCCCGGGGCGGCGGCTCGGCACGCAGACCCCGCGCCCACGACGTGGAGATGGTGGGCCAGCTCGTGGGCATCATGGTGGTGTCCTGCATCTGCTGGAGCCCGCTGCTGGTGAGGGGCGCGCCCGCCCGCCAGCCACGCTCCCTCCCGAGCCCTCCTGGCCCCTCCCACCCTGCCCCATCTTAGGCCACCTGGACCTTTGTCCCTCACCCAGCCTACGCCCCGCCCTCCAGGCCGCACCTGCCAGGAGAGCCAGGCCTTCGCCTTCTGCTTCTGACGTCCCATCCTTCCTTCCAGTCCCCGTTCTTCCTCCTCCTTGGATCCACCGGGGCCCTCTCCAGCGCTGTCCCTCTAAGTCCCCACGCTTCATGCACCCCCTCGCCCTCCTCCACCCTACGCCCTCTTCTCCCCTTGAGTCCCACGTCCTTCGGGGTACCTGGGGCTTCTGACCAGAGCCCTCCCCCACCGAAGCCTTTGCTTCCGCGCCGTAGCCCCTTCCCACGTAGATCCCCGTCCACGCTCCCCCTGAGGCCCGCGCCTCCGCCCACCCTCCCCTCCCAGCCACGCCCCCACCCTTCGCCCCGGCCCTTCCCTTCCGCCTGCCCCGCCGCTCACACCGACTCTCCGCGCAGGTGTTGGTGGTGCTGGCCGTCGGGGGCTGGAGCTCCAGCTCCCTGCAGCGGCCGCTGTTTCTGGCCGTGCGCCTTGCGTCCTGGAACCAGATCCTGGACCCCTGGGTGTACATCCTGCTCCGCCAGGCCGTGCTGCGCCAGCTGCTTCGCCTCCTGCACCCGAGGGCTGGCGCCAAGGGCGGCCCGTCTGCGCTGGGCCTCACCTGGTCCACCTGGGAGGCCAGCTCCCTGCGCAGCTCCCGGCACAGCGGCCTCAGCCACTTTTAAGCGCGCCCGGGAGGCCGAACGGCTAAGCCAGCCCACCCTAGGCCGGGCCCAGGTCCGCAGTGCAGAGCCTTTGAGGAATAACGCCATGTTTGGAGCCCAGGACGGTGTGTCCCGTCGGGGCTGCAGCACCCTCGGCGGCCGCGCGGGGGCGTCAGACGCGCCGCGCGCGCCTCCGGGGCGGGTGCAGTTCCGAGACGCGCCGCGCGAGGGCGCAGAGAGCCCGGACGCTCGGCCGCACGGGAGCCAAGCTGGAGCCGCAGGAGCATGCGCACAACGCCGCGCCGGGGCTGGCGGGGGGCTCCGCTCCGAGCAGAGTGAGGAGGGTTTTGGGGGGCGGTCTGGCGCCGCCAGGACGGACTGCCGCAGCTACTCTGCTCATCGTGGCCTTGAGCTCCCCCAACAGTCCCAGAGCCCTATGCCAAGCCACGCGCCTCCATGCCTCGCAGCCCCCCCCCCACCGGCGTCGGGGCTCACCTGCGCCCCCCACCGCGGCGTCGCGGCTCACCTGCGCCCCCCACCGCGGCGACCACCGAGTCCCCGCCCGTCGTGACCCTCTGCAGCGTCCTGCGTCGCTCCTGACTCCCACTGCCACCCACGCCCCTCCACGCCTCGCAGCCCCCCCACCCCAGCCGTCGGGGCTCATCTGCGCCCCCCACCGCGGCGACCGCCGAGTCCCCGCCCGCAGTGACCCTCTGCAGCGTCCGCGTCGCTCCTGACTCCCACTGCCACCCACGCCCCTCCATGCCTTGCAGCCCCACCCCCACCCCAGCCGTCGGGGCTCACCTGCGCCCCCCACCGCGGCTACGCGCGAGTCCCCGCCCGCCGTGACCCTCTGCAGCGTCCGCGTCCCTGCACACAGAGACGAGCGCACACAGACGGGCGGGGCACGCCCCAAAGGCCTTTTTAAAAACCAAGAGCTCTCAGGTGGGGGGGAGGGGTGGCAGGGCGAGGGGGGGCTAGCAGCCCCCGGCCACGAAGTCGAAGTCCTGGAAGGCCGCCTGGTCCGCGGCGGAGAGCGGCCTGGCCTCGCGGGGCGGGCTCAGCGTGGGCGCCTCCCCCGTGAACTCCTCGTCGAAGTTGCTCACGTCGGCGCGGCCGGACAGCGTGGGCACGAAGGGCGGCGGCAGGCGCCGGGCCAGCAGCGCGTCCCAGGCCAGCGTCTGCGGGCGGGTGCGGGGCGAGGGTCAGCCTGGGAGGCCCAGGGGGCCCACGCCTCAGGAGGCAGAGGAAAAGAGGGGTGCGGGGCTCATGCACAGGGCAACTGAGGCAGGGATGTAGGGGGTCAATGCTGCTGGAGTGCGGGGGACGGTGGGGTGGGCAAGGAGGGAGGGGGAAGGAAATGGTACCAATGGGACAGGCACCTAGGCCTTGGAGGGGTGGTGGCTGGGTCCTGGGGGGTCGCCAGGCCTTACCCGGAAGAAGGGCTGCTTTTTCACATCTTCGGCGTCTCTCTCGCTGGACCCCAGCCTCCGCTCGGGATTCCTCCGCAGCAGCTGGCAGGAGGGAACACAGCGTCAGGATCTGCCTGTCCCCTTCTGGGCCCGGGGGCCCCTCCCAGCCCCACCCCAGCTTGGTGGGGGCCCCTCACCCTGCGCATGATGCCGATGGCTTCCGCCGACAGAAAGCGTGGGTAGCGGACTTCATCGTTGACGATGCTGTCGAAGACCTCCTCCTCGTCGTCCCCTGGGAACGGGGACTGGGCACAGGGAGCGCAGGGGTGAATCGGGCCCCTCCTCCGGCTCCTCCACTCCCCGCCCCCACCCGGCTGCAGGTTGTCAAGGGTGCTGGCTTATGTGGGACAGTAAGTACCCCACTTCATAGATGCGGAAACTGAGGCCAGGGCGGTGGAGCCAGCAGCCCCCAGTCACACAGCGGGTGGCCGAGGCAGATTTGGACTCCCACCCCGGGGCACGCAGGGGAGGTGCGTCGTGGGGGGGCGGCCGGGGCCTCACCTCGCCCACCAGCATCTCGTAGAGCAGCACGCCCAGCCCCCACCAGTCCACGGCCCGTGTGTACGACGTGTCGGTCAGCACCTCGGGGGCCAGGAACTCGGGGGTCCCACAGAACGTGCTCGTCCGGTCCCCGTAGCCCATCCCTGGGGGCAGCAAGGCCGCGTGGGGTTATGGGGGCAGCAAGAGTCCGCTCAGCCCAGCCTGGGGTCGTCTACACAGCCTGCCACGTCCCAGAGTCAGAGTGGGGGTGACTGCCAAGTAGGGTTGGGGACGCCGTTCCTTCTGCGCTGCTCTAACGCCCAGCGCCCCGGCCCCATCCCGCCCCTCACCCTCCTTGCAGAGGCCGAAGTCTGCGATCTTGACGTAGCCCTCCATGTCCAGGAGCAAATTGTCCAGCTTCAGGTCCCTGTGGGGTACGGGCGGGGGGGGCAAGGAGGGGGGATGTAAAGAGGGGTGAGCGGGGCGTCTAGGCCCTGCGGGGACCGCGCCCCTGCAGCAGCGGCAGGGCAGGGCAGGGCAGGCGCGCGCACGCACCTGTAGACGATCTTGTGCTCGTGGAGAAACTGCAGCCCCAGCACCACGCAGGCTGAATAGAAGCTGCAGAGAGACAGACAGCTGGAGTGAGGCCCGGCCACCCAGCAAGGCGCAGGGGCGCAGGGCGCTGGGGCGCGCGGGGAGCTGGGGCGCGCGGGGCGCAGGGGCGCGCGGGGCGCAGGGGCGCAGGGAGCTGGGGCGCGCAGGGAGCTGGGGCGCGCAGGGAGCTGGGGCGCGCGTGCTCCAGAGCTCCAGGAGGCTGGGGGGGGAGGCGGGCCCGAGGGGAGAGGGCCAGGAGTCCTGTGCGCGCTGGGGCAGGAGGCAGGCGCCTGGGCCGGTGCGGGGTGGCGGGACGCGCTTACACGGCGCGGGGCTCAGAGAACACGTCGCTGTGGATGTGCAGCATCAGGTCCCCGCCGGCCGAGTACTCCATCACGAAGCACACGTGCTCTGGTGTCTGGAAACAGCCGAAGAGGTTCACCAGGAAGGGGTGTCCTGCCTTGGTCACCGCCGCCAAGATCCGCTTCTCACACATCAGACTGGGGGGGGGGGCAGGGCAGAGGGGCAGAGGTCAGAGAATAGCTGCCCCCTACCCCCAAGTCCTCAATCCACAGATATCTTGTTACGGGCCTCACGTTGCTGTGCAACTTTGGGCAAGTTGCTTAAGATCTCTGAGTCTTGGCAGCCTCTTCTGCTAAACAGTCCCCCAGAATCTACCCACCATCCTAGTAACAGCCCCTCGACTTCTCTTGGTGGAACTGCCAGGGGCAGGCAGGAGGCCCAGACCGATCGCAGCAGCCCCTCTCTCTCTGGCCAGAGACTAAAGGTTCAGGGATGGGCAAGCCAAGTCCTACTGATTTCCACTGGGATTATTAAGGAAGAAGTGTTCAAAAGCTGGTGAATGAGCCTGAAGCTGCTGGGGCGGGGGGCATCTCTGTGCCCACAAGAGGACTGCAGGCAAAGCCCACACCGAGGAAAGCAGAAACTGAGAAGCGTCATCTGAGCACCTGGATACAGCCGTGCCTGAAGGCAGACACCCCTAGACTTTTCTGATCCAGACCAATAAATCCGTTCACTTGTTTAAGCCTTTCTGAGTTGGAGTCCTGATTATCAAAAGGATGTCGGGAAGACCAGGGACAATCTCAGCGCCTCTGCCAAGTGGTTTATAGGGGGTCACACACTGTGCAGAGTGCTTCAGATGCCTCCTCTCACTGAATCCACACACAACCCTGCCATGAAGACGTTACTACTCGCCTTTCACAGAGGGGGCAGCTGAGGTTTTGAACCCAGGGCCTGACCCCAAAGCAGAGGCAGTGTGGTGGTGCCAAGAAGGGCACAGGCTTCAGAGCCTGAGACCTTAGGTTCAAATCCTGGACCTGCTTCTTGCTGGCTGTGTGACCTTGGGCAAACTGCTTGGCGTCTCTGTGCCATCCAGAGAGTGGGGACAATAACAGTGTTTTTACCTTATAGGGGGGCCTGGGGGGGGGCATATGAATAAACTGCTCTCTGAGAACTGTCACCGGACGGCCCTGTCTCTCGTTCCCCGAAAGAGCAAGCAGGGGTCCCCAGAGGGCTGGGGGGGGGGCCCCTACCTCTCCACCTCGTCGCGAGCCACGATGTCCCCTTTCTTCAAAGCCTTGATGGCGAACAGCTCCCCGCTGGACCGCAATTCGGAGAGCAGCACCTGGGGACCGCAGGGAAGCGAGGGGGTCTTGCGGCCGGCCCTGGCCCCGGGGGCCCCAGACCCCCAGCCTCCCAAGCCCCTGCCCCCCACCTCACCTTCCCGAAGTGACCCCGGCCCAGCACCGCCAGGAACTTGAAATCCTCCAGGCTCAGGGGTGACTTGCTCAGGGGGCTGTGGAGAGAGGACACTGGTGGGGTCGGGGGCCCTGGGCAGGGGTGGTGCGTGGCGGGCTGGGGGAGGGGTGTCACCTGCACAGGGCGGGGCCTGGGGTCTCCTGGGTCTCCGAAGGCAGCTCGCCAGTGGTGGCCGTTTCCCGGACCGGGGAACTCTGCGGCAGGCAGAGGAGGCCAGAGTGAGGGGAGTCAGGGATTCCCCCCTCCCAAAGCAGACTGGCCTCTGAGGCCCCACATGATCTGCCCCTCAGCAATCTGTCCTCTCTTCCCACCTGCCTTTACTCACTCCCCTCTGGCCTCACTCCCCACCCCCCGTCCCCATGCCCTGGACACACCAGGCACATTCCTGCCCCAGGACCTTTGCACGGCTGTGCCCTCTTCCTGGACTGCTCTTCTCTTACAGGCTGGTGGGCTCCCCCTTCGTCCTCACTCAAACCTCCCAGGTGGTTAGCTGGCCGCCGTGTTCACTAAGAGAACCCCTCAAGGACGATCTTCATGACGGCCCACCTCCACTTAATGACTAGTAAATATATTTTTTCTTCCTTAGGATGTTCTTTAATTTTTTTTCTAGATTTTTTTTTTTTTTGAGACAGAGTCTCGCTTTGCTGCCCAGGCTAGAGTGAGGGCCGTGGTGTCAGCCTCGCTCACAGCAACCTCCAACTCCTGGCTCAAATAATCCTCCTGCCTCAGCCTCCCGGGTAGCTGGGACTACAGGCATGCGCCACCACGCCCGGCTCATTTTTTCTATATATATCAGTTGGCCAATTAATTTCTTTCTATTTATAGTAGAGACGGGGTCTCGCTCTTGCTCAGGCTGGTTTCGAACTCCTGACCTCGAGCAATCCGCCCGCCTCGGCCTCCCAGAGAGCTAAGATTACAGGCGTGAGCCACCGCGCCCGGCCTAGATTTTTTTTTCTTTTTGAGATGATGTTCTTAATAGTTTTCTTTTCTCTAGCTTACTGTATCGTAAGAATACAGCAGGTAATACACATAACATATAAAATACGTGGCAATCAGCTGTTTATGTTATCAGTAAGGCTTAGTTAAGTTTTGAAAGAGTCAAAATTAACACGGATTTTCAGCTACATGGGGGTTGGTACCCCTAACCTCTGTGTTGTTCAAGGGCCGACTGTACTTATCTGTGCATTGGGATTAGCTTTCATTCTTTATACCACAAGCATGTATAAGGAAAAAAAAATCAAAATTAGTTTTTGTTTTCAAGACAAGGGCTTTTGGGAATGACAGCAGATCACTGGGAATTAAAAAAAAAAAAAAAAAGCCGGGCATGGTGGCGTGCACCTGCAGTCCCAGCTACTCGGGAGGCTGAGGCAGGAGGATCGCTTGAGCCCAGGAGTTTGAGGTTGCTGTGAGCTAGGCTGACGCCACGGCACTCACTGTAGCCCGGGCAACAGAGTGAGACTCTGTCTCAAAAAAAAAAAAAAAAAAAACAGAGTCTTGCGGCCTGGGGTTGGCAAACGCTGGCCGGTGGGCCAGACCGTTTTTGTACAGTCTTCAAGAGCTGAGGATGGTCTTTACATTTTTTAATTGTTGGGGAAAAAAAATTTAAAAAAATGAATATTTTGTCACCTATAACCATTCTATGACGTTCAAACTTCAGTGGTTCGAGCGGTCACTGGTTTTGCTCTAACCAATACGGTTTTCCTGGAGCGCGGACGTGCCCCTCCGTGACAGTGTCACTGCGGCCGCTCCGAGGCCGCGCTGCACGGGGACCGTCTGGCCCACGGAGCTGAACATACTGACTACCGGGGCCCTCGACAGAAAAAGCGAGCTGACCTCTGACCCCCATCAAGATGAGGAACACCTCCGTGCCCCGGGGGAGCCCCCTGTGTCTCCCTGCTTTCTCGGAGCCTTGCCCAGAGGACATGGCGACCTTGGCTTCCACTGTGAGCCCTCGTCTCACACGTGCTCCTTTCGCAGGGCGGTGCACGGAGGCCCGGAGAGCCGGGAGTCTGCAGGGCAGGGGCGGGGACCCAGGCGGGCTGCTCCCCAGCTCGCGTTTGTAACCAGGATTAGAGAACTGGGGCCTGGCTCTGCTGGACACATGCTGTGCAACCCCAAGGAAGTTCCTGGTGGTCTCTGAGCCAGGAGCAAGACCGCTGGCTGATGCTGCTGCCTAAACCCAGGCCAGGCCTAGGGGCCACAGAGAACGGGGGTGGGGGAGGGAGGGAGGGAGGCTCACCGGGCTGGAGGGGCTGGAAGGAGGGTTCACGGGGCTCTTCTGGGGCGAGCTGTCCCAGTCCACCCCGAGGTTCAGCTTCTCCACGGACACGTCTCTGCGGCAGAGGGGAGGGACGTGTGTCTGGGACCTGGCACCCCGGGAGGCAGGGAGAGGCAGCGGGGGACCCCCGGGGCCCTCCCTCCTTACCCTGCAGGCCGGGCCTCAGACCTGGGAGAAGCCCCGGGACTGAAGGTGGCTGTCCCCGTCGCGTTCGGGATGAGCCTCCGGAGCAGCCGCACCCATGTGGCCACGTCGATGTTCATCTGCCTGGCGCGCTGGAAGGCCTTCCCTGGGGGCGGGGCGGGCGTCACCCTCCGCGACACCCCCAGCACCCCTGGCCTCCCCACCCCCCCAGGGGCGGGCCCGGACAGCCCCCTCTCACCTTGCTGCTTGGCCCGGACAGCCCCCTCTCACCTTGCTGCTTGGCCCGGACAACCCCCTCTCACCTTGCTGCTTGGAGAAGATTTTCTTCTGCCGCCGGAGCCGGGGGATCCTCTCGATGACAGGGTTGCGGAAGGTGACCTGGGGGGTGGCGGGGAGCCCTTAGGAGGACAGGGGGGCGCACCCACGTGTCTTGCGATCTCGAGGTCCAAGGAAGAACCACCCACTCCAAGTCAGTCCTCGCAAGCGTGCGGGCTTCCTACCGAGCTTTTCCCGGAAAACCGATCTGAGCAGCTCACATCTTTCATGAGCAGGGTTTGGTGCTGGCCACTGTGACACCGAACTGAGCCCCAGAGTAGCACGTGACATGGGAGAGGGTCATCAAACCAACAGACCTCCTCGGGTGCCGTGTTGGAAAGCAAGAAGCAAGTGACCGGACCACCCTCTAGACTCTAGAGCAGGTGTCCTCAGACCGGGGCCTGCGGGTCACACGCGGCCCGCCGAGGACATTTATCCGGCCCGCCGGGTGTCTTTGCCGCCACTGCCTGTCCTGCTTAGCAGCCGGCTCATCCCGGGCCCACAGTGCGCACGTGTGGAATGTGCACTGCCGCGCTCTCCGGTGGTCTGAGGGGCAGTGAACCGGCCCCCTGTTTAAAAAGTTTGAGGACCGGCCGGGCGCGGTGGCTCACGCCTGTAATCCTAGCACTCTGGGAGGCCGAGGCGGGCGGATTGCTCGAGGTCAGGAGTTCGAAACCAGCCTGAGCAAGAGCGAGACCCCGTCTCTACTATAAATAGAAAGAAATTAATTGGCCAACTAATATATATAGAAAAAATTAGCCGGGCATGGTGGCGCATGCCTGTAGTCCCAGCTACTCGGGAGGCTGAGGCAGGAGGATCGCTTGAGCCCAGGAGTTTGAGGTTGCTGTGAGCTAGGCAGACGCCACGGCACTCACTCTAGCCTGGGTGACAAAGCAAGACTCTGTCTCAAAAAAAAAAAAAAAAGTTTGAGGACCTCTGCTCTAGAGTCTAGAGGCAGGGAAGGGTCTGACCCGACAGGACGGACCTGCGACTCCAGCCAACACACCCTGCGTCCCCAGTGCCGACCGCCCAAGTGTGGCCGCAGACCAGCATCAGCTGGGAACTTGCCAGACAGAAATGCAGATTCTCAGGCTGCCCTTGACCTACTGGACCAGAAACGTCTGGGGCTGGGGCCCGGCGCTCTGTGTCTCGACAGGCTATCGGGGTGATGCCGGTCCCCGGCCACAAAGGGAAACCATGGGTCTAGTTTAATTCTCCCAATTCAAACACGACTTTTTTCTTCTTCTTAAGAGACAGAGTCTCGCTCTGTCCCCCTGGCTAGAGTGCAGTAGCGTCATCATAACTCACTGCGGCCTCCCAAACTCCTGGGCTCAAGGGATCCTCCTGCCTCAGCCTCCCGAGTAGCTGGGACTACAGGTGCACACCACCAATGCTCAGCTAATTTTTTAAAAATTATTTTGTTAAACATGAATATTGGGGATAAATAAACAAAGTAAATAAATTAAGTAAAGAAAAAAAAATCATTTTGTGTAGCAATGGGGTCTTGCTATTGCCCAGGCTAGTCTTGAACTTCTGGACTCCAGTGATCCTCCCACCTCAGCCTCCCAAGCAGCCGGGACTATAGGCTCAAGCCTCCAACGCAACTTTTAGAAGGTGCTCAAGTCACAGAGCTACAGTGCCAGATGTGGCAAGTTAAATTGGTTAAAATTTAAGTAAAATTAAAACTTTGGTTCCCTAGTCACACTGGCTACACTTCAGATATAAAACATTTGCACGTACAACAGACTTCAACTACTGTAGGTAGGCTCATCAACAACGGAACAGGAGGCCGGGCGTGGCGGCTCACGCCTGTAATCCTAGCACTCTGGGAGGCCGAGGCGGGCAGATTGCTGGAGGTCAGGAGTTCCCAAACCACAGCCTGAGGCACGAGAGCGAGACCGGCTGTGTCTACTAGATAGAATAGAGAAGAATTGAATTGGCGCACTAATATATATAGAGAGAAAAAATTAGCCGGGCATCGGTGGCCGCATTGCCTGCCAGGAGTCCCCCAGCTACTCGGGAGGCTGAGGCAGGAGATCGCTTGAGCCGAGTGAGTTTTGAGGTTGCTGTGAGCGAGGCTGATGCCACGGCACTGCACGGTCTAGCCCGGCAACAAAGCGAGACTCCTGTCACCTCCAAAAACAAAAAAACACAAAAAAAAAAAAAAATAGAACAGTAGAAAGTCTATCAGATGGTGCTTGTTGTAGGAGCATAAGCAACAAAACAAAATGCTATGAGTAAACCTTGGAAGGCGAGTAGCAATGTTTCAAGAATTTGCTCCCTTGGGCCACCCACCACCATCCTCTGCTTGGGTTTGGCACAGTTGCCTAACTGCAACGACACAAACTGTTCACGCGCCCGCGCCATTGAAGTCAACTCTCTTCTCCTGTCCCTTTCTCTTCAGTGGTCCTTGCGTGTACAGATCATGTAGCAACTTCTGCATGAGGCCGGGCGGCACTGTGGTCTCACGCCTCTAATCCCAGCCCTCTTGAGAGGCTGAGGCAGGAGGATCGCTTGCGGTCAGGAGTTTGAGACCAGCCTGGGCTACGAGGCTGCTGTAGATCCCGCGCCTTCAGCTGGCTATAATTAGATGTACTTTTCTAACAAGGTTCACACACCAATCTGAAAGCTATCTTCCCCTTCTAGAAAACTGGGAGCAGGGGAGGCAGGAAGCATTTTCTCAGGGTTGGGCTGTACCTCGGCCACCAGGCAGCCCTGGGGTTCCATGTCCAGTTGCACCTCGTGCCTCTCATTGTCCAAGAAATCCTCCAACTTCAGGAATTTGAGGGCGCACAGGCCCCGCTGGTCCCGCCAGAACACAGCCAACTCCAGCTCCCGAGCCTGGGTGGGGGAGGGAAGATGGCCATCACTTGGGGTGCCTGAGGCCCAGAACTCCTCCTCCTCGAAGCCCTGTGGTCCCCCAAGGCAGCTCACCCTCTCCAGCTCCAGGGTGAAGCTCTGGTCCCAAGCGTTGGGGCCACACGGCTTCCAGGACGTCTGGCCCACCACCGTGTTATCCAGCTTAAGCACGGTGCTGACCTCACCTGCAATGGGCATTTGAGGGGAGTTCATCAGAAAATCCTGGGTTGGGGGGGGAGAGGTCTCCAGTATCTTTTAAAGAAATCCTCCCCTCCCCCTCCGTAATGTTCTGCCACTGTAAAGTTTTGCCTTTGACGTTTAAAGTCATGAATCCCAACTGATTTTTTTCCATAGGGTGTGAGGTAGGGATCCAAGTTCACTTCTATTCCATATGGAAGTCCCAGCAGCACTCTCCTAAGGACTGACCTTAGAAAAAGGCAGGCAGGTGTACATTAGCAGACGCATATACGCGACGCTTACATAACGGCCCCAGTTAGAAACAGCCTACCAACCGTTAAAGGAGAATTCATACACAAACTGTGATACAGTCTTAGTAACTGAGGTATCGATTTGCTGATATTCAACTGTTTTTTACCTTAAGAAAAGACAATTTGACAATTTGACATGGCTCGGACTAACACAATGGATTCTTTTTATTTTTTTATTTTTTTTGAGACAGGGTCTCACTTTGTTGCCCAGGCTAGAGTGAGTGCCGTGGCATCAGCCTAGCTCACAGCAACCTCAGACTCCTGGGCTCAAGCGATCCTCCTGCCTCGGCCTCCCGAGTAGCTGGGACTACAGGCATGCCGCTACCATGGCTGGCTCATTTTTTCCTTATATATGATATTTTTAGTTGGTCAATTAATTTCTTTCTAATTTTAGTAGAGATGGGGTCTCGCTCAGGCCTGTTTCAAACTCCCAACCTCAAGCAATCCGCCCGCACTCGGCCTCCCAGAGTGCTAGGATTACAGGCGTGAGCCCACCGCGCCCGGCCTCACATGGATTCTTAAAAGAATAATTATGCAAAATCCTGTGGCTCCACACCAACAATATGAATGAGTCTCCCCCAAAACAATACTGAAAGAAGCCAGTACACAGAGCACATTTTTGCATGAGTCCATCACTAATAAAGTTCAAATACCAGGAAAAATGATACCATACTGTTTGAGACACATAACATGGGGGTAAAAACTACAAAGAAAAGCAAGGAAAGTACAAAAGGCAAGGGCGGTACCAACTTGATGACAGAGGACGGGGCTAGAGTTGGGGAAAGGGGTTCCCATAGGGCTGGTAAAATCCCATTTCTTAAACCTGGGTGGTGGTAAACATGGGTGGTTTGGCCTTTATTGTTCATCTTTTCCCGTACTCACTTTTGTGCAATGTATTCGTTTTTTTTTAAATTTAGAGTAAAATATACCTTAACATAAAATATCGTCATAATCATTTTTAAGTGTACAGTTAATGACCTTAAGTATATTCACACTGCCATGCAACCATGACTACCATGCACCTCCAGAACTCTTTTCGTCTACAAATGAATCCCTGTGCCCGTTAAACACTAACTTCCTGTTCCCCTCCCCAGGCCCTGGCACCCACCATTCTGCTTTCTGTCTCTGTGAATCTGACTACTCCAGGGACCTCATAGAGTGGAATCACACAGTATGTTCCTTTTGCGAGTAGTTTATATCATTTAGGTATAATGTCCTTAAGGTTCATGCGGGCTTACAGCATGTGACAGGATTTCCTTCCTTTTTAAACCTGAATAATATTCCATTGTTTGATATTACATTTTGTTATCCTTCATCTGCTGGTGGACGCCGCGGTTGCTTCCATCTGTTGGCTATCTCGTGAACAATGCTACCAACACAGATATACAAATATCCTCTGAGACTGCTGCTTTTTCTTTTTTTTTTTTCTGAGACAGAGTTTCACTCTGTTGCCCCGGGTGTAGTGCGTGACATCATCATAGCTCACTGCAACCTCAAATCCTGGCTCTGAGTGATCCTCCTGCCTCAGCCTCCCGAGTAGCTAGGACTGCAGGCATGCACCAACCACACCTACCAATTTTTCTATTTTTAGTAGAAACCAGGTTTCTGCTCTTTCTCAGGCTGGTGTCAAACTCCTGACCTCAAGTGATCCTCCCGCCTCAGCCTCCCAGAGTGTAGGAATTACAGGCGTGAGCCACCGCACCTAGCCAAGACTATGCTTTTATTTAGCTAAAATTTTTTCTAGGCCGGGTGTGTGTAAGCTCATGCCTGTAATCCCTAGCACTCTGGGAGGCTGAGGAGGGTGGATTGCTCGAGGTCAAGAGTTCAAAAACCAGCCTGAGACAAGAGCGAGACCCGCTTCTACTATAAAATAGAAAGAAATTAATTGGACAACTAATATATATAGAAAAAAATTAGCCAGGCATGGTGGCACATGCCTGTAGTCCCAGCTACTCGGGAGGCTGAGGCAGGAGATCGCTTGAGCCCCAGGATCTGAGGTTGCTGTGAGCTAGGCTGATGCCACGGCACTCACTCTAGCCTGGGCAACAAAGCGAGACTCTGTCTCAAAAAAAAAAGAAAGAAAAGTAAAATTGAGCATATTTTTGAAGAAACACCGCAATGTTTTGCAAAGTGAATTTCACATTGTCACCAACAGCGCCCAAAGGTTCCAATTTCTCCACATCCTCACCAACACTTTTTATTTTCTGTGGTTAGCTGTTTTTTTTTTTATAGCCGTCCTCCTGATGAGTGTGACATATTCATTTTTTAATGTATATTGGGGCAATCCCAGGACCACCCCACCCCACCCTACCCCTCACCGAGGCCGGGGGGGGGGGGGGGGGGGGGGGGGGGGGAGAGGGGGGGGGGGGGGGGGGGGGGGGGGGAAGGGAGGGGGGGGGGGGGGGGGGGGGGGGGGGGGGGGGGGGGGTATGTCCACTCACTGTTGTTCTCCGCTTCGGCTTTGAGGCTGCTCCGGCCACTGAGGCTCCCACTTCGGCTGTAAAGGCCCCGGGCTGGGCGGCTCAGGAAGGGGGTGCGGCAGTCTGGGGTCCCGGGTCCCCCCACCGAGGGCGAGGGGTTCCAGGGGATGGTCTCTGGGAGGTCCCTGCAGCCCACCACTCGAACCACCAGGGTCCCTGCAGAAGAGGAAGGTTCGGCAGGGGCCACATCGCAGCCAGGCTGGGGGGGGGACATGGGGGCACAGGGGGAGGGGCCTGCAGGTAGAAGCGAGCCCAGAAACAGCCATGGTACTAGTAGGGGCCAGGGAGGGACAGCCAAGGTGGGGCAGGGGGTCTGAGGCAGGCATGTCTGTGGCTGGCGTGCGAATACGAGACAAATGGTCATGGGGGGGTGGCTGGGATGCTGGAGTTTAGGGACAGAAGAGAGGTTCAGGGCAGAGGCGGGGGAGGGGGGGCAGGCAAGGAGGAACGAGGTCGGACTAGGGAGGCCAGGTAGGATTTGGTGGGCTGATTTGAGGTCTGAGATGGGCTGGTCTGGAGGCATAGGGGCTAAGGGCTCCAAGGAAGGTAGGCCTGGGGGGCGGTCAGAGGCTCCTGGCTGCAGGTTTGAGAACGAGGTGGGGCTGGGGGACTGCGGTTGGAGGGAAAAGTCAGAACCAGGTGGGGAGGGGCGGGGAAAGTGAAGGGGAGCAGAGATGGGGACAAGAGCCCAGACTCAGCAGGAGAAATGGGGGGACGTCTAAGGCGCACGGGGCTGTCTACTGGAGACGGGAGCGGACGGTGGGATGGGAGCCAGGGCTGGGGAGAATGGAGATCCGGATGGGGGTCTCAGGGCTGCGGGGCCCACCTGTGAGCGGCGCGGGCTTGCACAGGGTGCTGTAGTGCGTGGCGGGGAAGGGCCCCACGAGGCGGGCGCTGAAGGCGGCGGACGAGGCCGCAGCGAGCTCTTCGCGCAGCAGCCGCCCCTTGGGGTGGTCGGCAGGCAGCTCCCCCAGCCTGCGCTCCAGGGCCTCGCGCAGCAGCCCCAGCTTCTGGTTGGACTCGGTCAGCTTCTCCTGGGCCTGCGGCCGGCAGGGTGGGGATGAGGGGCGGGCCCGGGCTTGCCCTTCCCACCCCCGGGCTACCCTCGCACCGAGTTAGACTCTCCGGGGTCTTAAAACTAAGGCCCGCCCTGCCAGCCCCCTCCCGAGGATATCCTCCCGAGACCTGCCCCTCACTGGCTCACCCCCGCTGGACCCCGCCCCTCGTTGAGGCCCACCCCTCACTGAGGCCTTCGCTGAGACCCGTCCCCTCGCTGAGCCCCACCCTCCCAGGACCATTCCTCACCGAGCACCGCCCTCGCTGAGCCCACCCTCACCAAGGACCATCTCACCGGAGACCCCCCCTCGCTGAGACCCTCACCCTAAGAGACCATCTCACGGACCCGCCCCCCCGCTGAGCCCCACCCCTCACCAAGGACCATCCCTCACGAGACGCCCCCGTCGTTGGGCCACCCTCACTGGGACCATCCTCACGAGCCCCGGCCCCTCGCGAGCCCCACCCCTCACCAAGGACATCCCTCACCGAGACCCCGCCCCCTCATTAAGGCCCCACCCCTCACTGAGGACCATCCCTCACCGAGACCCGCCCCTCGCTGGAGCCCACCCCTCCAAGAACATCCTCACCGAGACCCCGCCCCTCGTTGAGGCCACCCTTCTGAGGAATCTCACGCGAGACCCCCGCCCCTCGCATGAGCCCCACCCTCACCGGGACCATCCTCACCAAGACGGCCCCCTGTTGAGGCCCACCCCTCATGAGGACCTCCCTCACGGACCGCCCTCGCTGAGCCACCCTCACAAGGACTCCTCACCAACCCGCCTCCGTTGAGGCCCACCCTCACTGAGGACCGATCCCTCACCGAGACCGCCCCCCTCGTGAGCCCCACTCCACAAGGACCATCCTCACCGAGACCCGCCCCCTCGTTGAGGCCACCTACATGAGGACCACCCTACCAGACCCGCCCTCGCTGAGCCCACCCTCACAAGGACCATCCCTACCGGAGCACGCCCCTAGTGGGCCCCCCTCATGAGGACACCTCACCCTCACCGAGACCGCGCCCTGCTGAGCCCCCACCCTCACCAGGACCATCCTCCCGAACCCCGCCCTCGGTTGAGGCCCCACCCCTCACTGAGGACCTCCCTCCCGAGACCCCCCCTCGCTGGCCCACCCGTCACCGAGGAACCATCCCTCACCGGACCGCCGCCTCATTGAGGCCACCCCTCCACTGAGGCCTCTCCTGACAGTCCCTCGCTGAGGGCCACCCCTCACTGGAGGCATCCCCCCCCACGAGGCCCGCCCCTCATGAGGGCTTCCACCCCGCTGAGACCCGCCCCCTCGTTGGGAGGCCGGCTCTGCTGAGCCACTCATACCGGGACCATCCCTACCGGACCCCGCCTCTTCATGAGGCCACCTCATAGTCAGGCACTGTTCCTAGTGAGACCCCGCCCCCTCACTGAGGCCCCACCCCCTGCTTAAGCACGGCCCCGCCTGGCGGAGGCAAGACCCCAGGTGAAGGCCCCGCCCCTAGATGAGGCCCCACCCCTCACACGCTGGTTCCTTACTAAGGCCCCGCCCCTCCAAGGCCCCGCCCTCCCCGAGGCCCCGCCCTCCCCGAGGCCCCGCCCCCTCCAAGGCCGGGCCCCTCACCTCGCCGACTGCCTTGCGGTCCGGGGCCTTGGCCGCGCTGAGCAGGCGCAGCACGTTCTTGGCGCCCTCGGCCACCGCGTGCTCCACTCGGAAGTGGTGCCGCAGCTCCTCGATGCGCAGCTCCACAGCCCCCAGGTCCGGACCCCCTGCGGGCATGGCACACGGCACGGAGGCTAGCCTGCAGCCCACCCGCCACGGCGGCCCCGACGCGCGGCCGTCCACAGGCACTGGCCGTAGATGCACCACCACCACGATGCATCACACTTCTCCCAAGGGGCGGTCACAGTGACACTGTCACACCGTCACCCAACACCCAAGGGGTGACAGTGTCCCTCTTACTCAGGACCAGTCTGAGCAATGGTGTGGAGGCACACCCTCAAGCCAGGCTTTGGGACAGACACGTTGTCACGGTCCCTCTCCATTCCCAGGGACTAGCACCGGGACAGCCCCGGGCACACTGCGACCCACAGGGACAGCCACACTATCTTGATTTCAGTCACTGTCGCCCAGATACCATCACGTCTTTCACCCAGGGACCACAGATAGCCCCCGGTGGCAGGGACAGAGATCACACTGTCGTACTCATGCTGACACACCTCTGTTCCCACTGAACAGCCGCTACCACGCGGTTACGTTGTCAGCCACGCATAGCGACACCCACGGGCATTTGGACAGCCACAGACACAGTCACACTGCCACACAGATGGCGTCAGCCACAGGGACACTGTTAGGGACTGAATGTGTCCCACAAGTTCATATATTGAAGCTTTAACCCCCAAGGCGATGGCATTTGGAGACGGGCTCTGGGGAGGGGATTAGGGTTAGATGAAGTCACTGGGCAGGGGAGGCCTCATGGTGGGATGAGTGCCTTACAAGAAGGGGAAGAAGCCGGAGATGGCGGCTCACGCCTGTAATCCCAGGACTTCCGGGGGCAGAGGCGAGAGCCGGGAGGATTGCTTGAGGCCAGGAGTTCAAGACCTGCCTGGGCAAACATATCAAGGCCCCGTCCCAGGGGGGAGGGGGGGCATGGGCAATATACATAACTCTAACATTTGTACCACCATAATATGCTAAAACAAAAATAATAATAATAATAAAAACAAAAAACCCCATCCCTATGAAAAGTTTTTTAAAAAGTTAGCTGGGCATGGTGATGTGCACCTGTAGTCCCAGCTACCAGGAGGCTGAGGCAGGAGGATCGCTTAAGCCCAGGAATTTGAGGCTGCAGTGAGCTATGATCATGCCACTGCCCTCCAGCCTGAATAACAGAGCAAGACTCTGTCTCAAAACAAACAAACAAAAAAGAAGATGATGATGATGATGAAGAAGATGAAGAGGCAGAGACACCAGGGCTGTGTCTCCGCCGTGTGAGGACGCGATAGAAGGCCGCCGCGTGCAGGCCGGGCGGGGAGCCCTCCCCAGGAACTGGGCCTGCCAGCCGCCAGAGCCGAGGACGTGCGTGCCACTCGCTCTGTGGGACTTCGTTATGGCAGCCTGTCTCGGCGGACTGAGACAGGCCCTGTTACGCAGAGACACCGTCACACTGTCACCCACAGGGACACACCGGCATCACCGCTTTGTCGCCGGTGTATGCACAGTGTCACCTGCAGGCAGAGGAACAGGTGCTCTGTCGCAGAGAGGCAGTCACACTGCCACGCGGGGACACGGTCACCTGGGGCAGGCTTTGTGGTCATGCGGACACAGCCCTGTCACCTCAAGCACAGCACACCCCTGCAAGGACAGGGGGACATGGTCGGTCGCAAAGCACAAACGCCCGTCATTCCCAAGCACGGGGGCGAGAGGAGGGCACGGCCACACCCAGGCGGCAGTCCCAGGCTTCTGACTCCAGCCCAGAGAGAGTCGTGAGGACATAATCCCACGAAGGCACAGGGGCACAGGTGGAGAGAGGCCGCCACCGTGTCACCCAGGCAGGGCAGCGCCGCTGACACCCACAGGCACAGAGACTCCACGTCGGAGGGGGAAAAGGCTGGGTGTCACACCCAGGGTGAAGCCACAGGGACTCAGCCACCCGAGGGCTCAGGGAGAGGGACGAGGACACGCTGCCACACACACGCAGGAAACTTGTCACCCGGAAATTGCACCCACGGCTGTGGGTTCCTAGGACGGTCTCACTATTTTGTGTGACGACCCCCTACTCAGACACTGGGACTTGGTCACAGAGAGTCACGCTGTGTCCACAGGTGGGTGGTACTCACCTGGACACCGGCAAGGCAGACGTAGAGTGACAGGGACAACCTGGGTACTCGCCGCCATGTCCTCTTGCAAATACAGTCACACTGTCGCTGTCACACTGTGCTTAATCAGTCACTGGGACTTTCAGGGACAAGGCGACCCAGCCACCCAGGCTTACACCACCACACTGAGGTGAAGGGACGTGACCGTGCCATCACTCTTAGTCACTAAGCAGCCCACGAGGGGACCCACAGCACGGACACACAATCGCGCAGCTGCAGTGACACCCCCCCAAGACACACACCCTGTCCTCCAAGTTACAAGCCTCACCAACTGGGGACACTTTGCCACCCCAAACAGTGACACACGAACCGTCATCTTTACCAGGGCACGCTCACCACGCCTGGGTCCCACAGTCAAAGTCACATTCATATTGACACACACGAGCAGTACGGACAGACAGCACTCGATGCACCAAGCCCTGTCACAGACGCGGGCTGATGGCCGGGCGTGGTGGCTCACGCCTGTCATCCCAGCACTCTGGGAGGCCGAGGCGGGCGGATTGCTCTAGGTCAGGAATTCAAGACCAGCCTGAGCAAGAGCGAGACCCCATCTCTACTAAAAATAGAAAGAAATTCATTGGCCAACTAAAAATATATAGAAAAAAAATGAGCCGGGCATGGTGGCACATGTCTGTAGTCCCAGCTACTTGGGAGGCTGAGGCAGGAGGATCGCTTGAGCCCAGGAATCTGAGGTTGCTGTGAGCTAGGCTGACGCCATGGCACTCACTCTAGCCTGGGCAACAAAGCGAGACTCTGTCTCAAAAAAAAAAAAAGAAAAAAAAAGAGTAAGACAGTAAATATTTTCTTTTCTTTTCTGTTTTTTTTTTTTTTTTTAAGAGACAGGGTCTTGCTCTGTCACCCAGGCTGGAGTGCAATGGCTCATTCACAGCTCACTGCAGCCTCCAACTCCTGGGCTCAAATGATCCTCCCGCCTCAGCCTCCTGAGTTACTGGGACTACAGGCGCCACCACGCCCGGCTCAAGACGGAAAATATTTCTGACTCTCTGGCCCGCGCAGGCTGGTGCCACTACCCAGCTGCCAGTAACTACAGTAAAAGTTGATGGGCATGGCCGTGTGCCAATAAAACTTTACTTACAAAAAAAGGCAGCAGGTGCATCTGGCCTGAGGGCTGTAGTTTGCCAACACTCCATCTAGTCCAAACCTTGCCTGGGACAAATGGGAAACTGAGGCCCAGAGAGGGCCACGAATGGGTTCCCGTCACGGTACTGTGAGTCACAATACCTGTCTCCCTGTCCCAGAAAGGGACCCTTTACAGGGCCAGAAACTGAGCCTGGCGAGGTGGGGTGCAGGCCAGGCTGTCTCAGGGCGCGGCGCTCACCTTGGGCCTCGTCCGGGGCCACCTGGCTCTCCAGCTGGCCGGCCTGCAGGGCCCGGCGGAGCTGCATGCGGATGATGTCGATCTTCGTCTTACTGTCCTGCAGCATCTGCTGGGCCGTGAGCAGCAACTTCCGGTCCTGCAGGCAGAGCCCGGCTGTCAGAGGAAGGGTGGGGGGCTGGGGGGCCGTGGCCGCGGCCGAGACCACACCACGCAGGGCCTGGGTGACGACGGGACAGAGCGTTCGTGCGTTGGTTTCTGTGTGGGTTCTTCTGTACACACTCCTGGGCGTAGTGATGGGGGTCCCTGCATTGGAATCTGGCTCTGCCACTTGACGGCTGTGTGACCTGCAGCAAGCCACTCAACCCCTCTGGGTCTCCACGTCCTCATCTGCAGAATGGCCCCCTCTGGACCGGCGAGTCCGCGCACAGAGCTCGGAGCCCTGCCCGGCCCAGAGCAGGCGTCGCGTGCACGCTGGCTGTTAGAACGGCGTGCACTCAGGTGAGAGGTCCCCGAGGTCCCTGAGCCCCCGAGGGTGCCTGGGTGTGAGTGTCCAGGATTCAAGGTATGACTACAGCCGGGCACTGCCCGCCACCACCCTGTGCGCGCACAAGCGCCAAAAAAATCAGTTGCGGGGTTTTCCCGTCCACTGCGTGCTGTGTGTTTTTCCTTTTCTGTTTTGTCAAAGTGAAGCAGGAAAATATCTGCAGTGCTAACACTCAGATAAGACGCCGCAAGACATGACGTCTTCTCTACGCACGTTCAGTGGGGCAGAGCCATCCCTCCCCAGGGGGCAGAGATTGGTTCCGGGGTCGGGTGAGGTGGGGTGAAAAACTTCTGTCCTTTTTGTGTATAATGCAGAGATTGGCATAAAGAGACACATGGCTGATCTGTGTTTAACATTTCCTTTTGCATTTTTTTTTATCTTCTTGGTGTGTGTGTGTGTGTTTTAACATTTCATAGCATGGCGTTCAAATACTCGTACACAGATGTTCATATCGGAACTACTCACAACGGCCGAAAGGTAGAAACCACCCAAATGTCCATTATATAATAAATGGACAGAGCAAATGTGGCACATCCACATAATAGGATATTGTTCAGCCATAAAATGGAATGAACTACTTAGTCCTGCTGCAAAGCGAACGAGCCTCGTAAACACCGTGCCGAGCAGAGAAGCCAGATACAAAAGCCCGCGTGCATTTACGTAAAGCGCCCAGAACAGGCAAATCCATAAAGGGAGGAAGCCGATTAGGAGCTGGTCGGGGAGGGAGACTGGGCAGCAACGGCTACTGGGGACGGGGTTTCCTTTCGGGGTGCTGAAATGCTCTGAAACTAGACGGAGGTGCCACATTGCGAATGTACCAGATGCCACTAAATTGTATGCTGGAACATGCTAACGTGGGAGATTTTATGTTATGGGTATTTTACCACCCTGGGTGATTAGGGGGGAAAAAAATGTCAGAAAAGGGCCCTTAGGGGAACAATAATGAAAAAAAGGTTGAGGGACATCTATTCATATTTAAGGGCGTGTCCGTTCTTATCTGTCCGGCGAGCGCACTTGTCACGATTAGCGCCTGCTGCGTGCCAGGCACACAGAGGCTGCGTGTGAGGTGGCGAGACCTGGGACGCAGCGTTCCCGGCCCAGAGCCCTCGCCTTGTCACGGCGCTGAGCCATCCGGCCCCCAAGGCCGCGCCACTGCGAAACCCCAGCCCCTGACACGGAAGTCACAGAAGCTCAGAGCTGTGGCATTCCCGGGAATCCTTGACCCGAGGTGGGCGCTCCCAGAGCAACAACTGCGCACACTGCATGGGGCGAGGACACCACGTGACCCCGTCTACGTGAAGCTCAAAACCAAGCAAAGTCAATCTGTGGGGCCCAAACCCAGCCCGCCCCAGCCTCCCATGGGGGCAGCTGGAGGCGGCACCCTGTCCCCCAGCCTGCGATCTGCAGCTGTGTGTGCAGGCACACGGCGGATGAGTGTGCACGTGTGGGTGTGCGTGCTCGTGTGCACGGCACTGTGGGTGTACGTGCAGACGTGGCTGTGCATGTGTGTGTGTTTGTACACATGCTGGCATGTGTCGCAGGTATGGGTGTACATGTGGGTGGGTGGGTGCGTCTGTACACATGCTGACGGGTGTGTGCATGTGCAGGCATGCGTGCACACTCACGGTGGTGCGTACATGTGTGGGCATGTGCATGTGCAGTGGGTGTGTACATGTGGGTGGATGTGTGCAATACACACGTGTGTGTATGAGAGTGTGCACGTGTGGGTGAGCGTGTACCTGTACAGGTTGCTGTGTGCACACGCAGTGGGTGTGCACGTGTGGGCAGGCGTGTACCTGTGCAGGTGGCTGTGTGCACACGCAGTGGGTGTGCACGTGTGGGCAGGCGTGTACCTGTGCAGGTGGCTGTGTGCACACACGGTGAGTGTGCACGTGTGGGCGGGCGTGTACCTGCGCAGGTGGCTGTGTGCACACGTGGTAGGTGTGCACGTGTGGGTGGGCGTGTGCCTGTGCAGGTGGCTGTGTGCACACGCAGTGGGTGTGCACGTGTGGGCGGGCGTGTACCTGTGCAGGTGGCTGTGTGCACACGTGGTGGGTGTGCACGTGTGGGCGTGTGCACAGGTGTGAGTGCGAGTGTGACGAGCGCCCCGGCGCGGCCCCACCTTGGTGCTGCCGTTGCTGTAGGTCTGGATCATGTTCTCCGCGCCCTGCTTCACCTTCAGCTCGATGGCCAGCTGCTTCTCCAGCCCCGCCACGCGGCTCAGGTTGGTGGCCGAGCAGGCAGGGCCGCCTGCACCCGGGGAGTGGGGGGCATCTGGGGGGACGGGAGGGAGAGAATCACCATGGCCGTCACCTTGGTCCGCCCGTGGCCCCCAGGACCCGGGACAGCTGGGCGCCGGGACACAGGAAGGCGGGGGCGCCAGGGCCCAGCAGGCCCGCCCACCCCGCCCTCCCAGGGAAGCCGCTCGGGGCTGGGACAGGACCCAGGATGAATGAGCGTGTGTGCGCGTGTGTGTCCTGGTGCCGTGTGTGAGCCCACGAGCGTGGGAGCGGTTCCATCTGTGAACCATGGGGTGTGACTGTGTGAGACGCCAGGTGCTACGATGCCTGAGATCTGGGTGTTGGGTGCACACGCTTCCCCTGTGTGGTGTGCCTGTGCCTGTAAGTATTACTGTGAGTGCAGATCTCCAGGTGTTGGCATGAGTGTGTCTGGGTCCCTGGGTGTTGGGACAGCCAGACGCAGGTGTCTACGTGGGTGTCTGGAGGGCAGTGTGACTGGGGCGGGAGGGGCCTGGGTACAGGAATGACTCTGAGATTCTGGATGCTGGCTGCACTCTGTCCCCAAGTGTCCGGCTGTTGACATGCCCTCGTGTCTGGAAGGGCCGGGTGTTGGTGTAAGTGCTGTTGCATCTTCAGGCCTTGTCCGATTGTGAGCACAACTCTCTGCTGATGTGACTGTGTCTGTCAGGCGTGGGTGGCTGTGTGCGTGACGCTATGGGGTTTGCTGTGATTGCTCGCCACAGTGGCTGTTGTCCGTGTGTTTCTCTGGGTGTTGGGTGCCGGGATATAAGCCTTTGGGTGTCGTCATGACGATGTGTCAGAGTGTCTGGGATTCATATGCTAGCGTCTAAGTCCCTGGGTGTTGTCTGGGTGCTGGTGTGACTGTGTGTGCTTTTCTCTGGGTACGCACGAGACAGTGTGTGAGTCTTCCCCAGTGTCGTCCAGTGCTGGCGTGACTGTGTGTCAGAGTCGTGGGTTGCAAGACGAAAACGTTCTAGAGATCTGGCAAACTTGGGCCGGGCGCTGGGGCTCACGCCTGTAATCCCAGCACTCTGGGAGGCCGAGGTGGGAGGATCGTTCAAGGTCAGGAGTTCGAAATCAGCCTGAGCAAAACCCCGTCTCTACCAAAAATAGAAAGAAGTTAATTGGACAGCTAAAAATATACAGAAAAAATTAGCCGGGCATGGTGGCACATGCCTGTAGTCCCAGCTACTTGGGAGGCTGAGGCAGGAGGATCGCTTGAGCCCAGGAGATTGGGGTTGCTGTGAGCGAGGCTGACGGCACGGCACTCACTCTATCCTGGGCAACAGAGAGAGACTCTGTCTCAAAAAAAAAAAGAGTTTTTGGGTGCCATCTAGGTGTTAGTGTCATTGTGTGAGAGTCTTTGGGTAACTGTCTCTTAATATTTGTGTAACAGTGTGCACATCTTTGGGTGTTATCTGGGTGTTGATAAGACTGTGTCTTTAGGTATTGTCATGGTGTGTAAGTTTTTAGGTATTGTGATGGTGTGAATATCTTGGGTGCTGTCTGGGTGTTGGTGTGGCTGTCGTTAGGTACTGTGATGGTATACATGCACATTTTGGGTGTTTTCCAGGTGTTGATGCGACTATGCCTGTAGTTATTGTGATGGTGTGTGAATTTTGGGTGCTGTCCAGGTGTTGGTGTGACTGTGACTGTAGGTACTGTGATGCTGTGAGCATTTTGGCTGTTGTCCGGGTGTTGGTGTGTCTGTGTCTGTAGGCACTGTGCTGGTGTGTGCATTTGGGTGTTGTCCGCGTGTTGGTATGACTGTGCCTGTAGGTATTATGATAGTGTGTGCATTTGGGGTATTGTCTGGGTGTTGGTGTGACTGTGCCTGTAGGTATTATGATAGTGTGTGCATTTTGGGTATTGTCTGGGTGTTGGTGTGACTGTGCCTGTAGGTATTATGATAGTGTGTGCATTTTGGGTGTTGTCCAGTTGTTGGTGTGACTGTGCCTGTAGGTACTGTGCTGGTGTGTGCCTTTGGGTGCTGTCCGGGTGTTGGTGCGGCTGTGTCTGTAGGCACTGTGCTGGTGTGTGCGTTTGGGTGCTGTCCGGGTGTTGGTGCGGCTGTGTCTGTAGGCACTGTGCTGGTGTGTGCATTTGGGTGCTGTCCGGGGGTTGGTGGCTGTGTCTGTAGGCACTGTGCTGGTGTGTGCGTTTGGGTGCTGTCCGGGGGTTGGTGGCTGTGTCTGTAGGCACTGTGCTGGTGTGTGCGTTTGGGTGCTGTCCGGGGTTGGTGGCTGTGTGGGTCTCGGGTGCTCCTCCCTGGGAACGGAGCCCGCTCCCGGCCGCCCGCTCACCCCGGGCGGTGGCCGGGTCGGGCAGCACCACGTGCGCGTGCAGCTCCTGCAGCTGCTGGTGCAGCAGGTCCAGGCGGCGCGAGGAGCCGCGCAGCAGCAGCTCCACGGGGCCCAGGCTGCGGCCCAGGTCGGTGGTGGCCCGCCGCAGGTTCTCGGCGCCCTCCTTCAGCTTCAGCTCCTTGCGGATCTCCCTGCGCAGCCGCTCCCGCTCCAGCTCCAGCTGCTGCTGCACCCCGGGGGCCGCCAGGTCCGCCCCTGCCAGGCCCAGCTGCTCCAGCAGGGACCAGCTGCGCGGCTCGCTCTGTGGGGGACAGGCAGGGTCAGGGGACGCCAGGGTGCAGCCCGCATGTGGCCGGCCTGGCCCAGCCTCCGCCCGGGACTGGAGCTCCCGAGATGCGTCCTGCTCTACCTCCTCTGACCCCCAAAACTGGGAGGTGAGACAAGGCCCTGCTCCTGCTTCCTGACCCCCCAAACTGGCAGGTCCCAAGGTCAGGGACTTCTTCCTTCCTGGCCCCTCAGCCTAGGGGATCCCACAGGCATGACCGTGTCTCCCTTTGTCCCTTATGTGGTGAAGCAGGCCTTGTTGCCCCACCACTGTGTCCCCTGACTGGGTTCTGTCTCCCTTCTGCTGCCCCCAAATTAGCGGGCCCCCAAGGCAGGACTCCTTTTCTCTGCTGACCCCTAAAACTTAGGGGGTCTTGAGGATAGGCCCCGCCTTCCCGCTGGTACGCCCTCAAACTGTGCGGCCCCAGGGGCAGGCTCCACCTCCCCTCAGCTGCACCCAAACTAGCGGATCCCAAAGGCAGGCCCTGTCTTCTCTCTGCTGTACCCCCAAACTACGGGGCTCTGGGGCAGGCCTCATCTTCCCTCTTCCTACCTTCCAAAACCCGGACCCTAAAGAGCAGAGCCCCATCTCCTTCCTCCCCTGTCTCCCCAACCCGGGAGCCCCAAACGGCCCCAGATATTTTCATCCTCCAGAGAAGTCTGAGGCCAGCACCCCACCTCGTCTCCTGGTCCCAAACTGAGAGCTACCCAGGGCAGCACCTTAGGGTCCCCTTCTGCCCTCCCCCCAAGGGACCGCAGCCCCCACCTCCAGCTCCTGCTCCGAAGGGGGATCGGCCTCCGCCATCCTGGGTCCGGGCTGAGGGCCCCGCCCTCTTCCTGAACCTCAGCCCCCCCAGGGCCTCTTGGCCACCACTTCCTCTTTCCTGCCAGCTCCCAGCACCCCCTGCGCCCGGGGCTCAGGGGCATCTAACGGACCCTCCCCGCAGCCCCTCCTCCAGGGCCAAAGCTGCTGCTCCAGAGGAAACCCAGGGACAGCCCTGCTCCCTGTCCCGAGAGGCTGCCCAAGGTGTGCATGCCTGGTGTGCACACTCCCACGCCCATCGTGTGTACATGGCAAACAGGCCCCCACGAGGGTACGCGGGCTCCAGGGCCCGACTAGGGCGTGCACACACTTTCACACACAGACGGGCATGTGCACACATGGACACGGGCTCGCAAGCGCGTGCACGCTCCCACGCCTGCAGGGGTGTGCCTAGAATATGGCGCCCAGCGGTGCACATTCCCATGCCTACCGAGAATACGCCCATTTGCAAATGCCCGCGAGTGCATCCACGGGTCACTCTGGAACCCGCGGGATGCACGCTCCCACCTGCCCGCACACCCATGCATGCACACATGCTCACACACGTATGCACACTCCTCGGGGCCCTGCGGCGTGCTCATGCTCCCACGGGTCTCCAGCCCTGCCACTACCTGCACGTGTCCCTGTGGCCAGAGCCTCCCGCCCACCCCTTGTCCCCAGCTTCCCCTTCAGGGTCAGAACAGCCAGTTCTGCAGAGGCAAGGTCCCCTCCCTGCAGGCGACCATCCCAACTTCCTGCTTCCTCTCAGTCTAGCTGCAAACTGTTGATGACCACGGCTCAGAGGTCCAGGGTCCTGGCCAGCCCAGTGGTACCTCCCTGAGGCCAGCGCCATTAGGAAACAGCACTGGGGGTGGGAGTGGGACAAGAATACCCCAAAACCAGCAGCCCACAAACCACTTGCTAAGCACATACCAGAGCTCTGGCACAGCCACACATGCTCCTCGACATACAACAGGGTTACATCCTGGTAGACCCATCGCAAGTGGAAACTATCACAAGTTGAAAACACACTTAATACACCTAACCAGCTGGATGTGTTGCCTCATGCCTGTAATCCCAGCGCTTCGGTAGGCCGAGGCAGGAGGATCACCTGAGACCAGAAGTTCGAGATCAGCCTGGGCAACATAGTGAGACCCCCATCTCTACCAAAAAAACAAACAAAAACAAAATACGCCTAACCTACTGAACAGCATAGCTTAGCCTAGCCCACCTTAAATGTGCTCAGGGGACTCACATTGGCTCACGGTTGGGCAAAGTCACCTTAACACGAAGCCTATCTTATAATAAAGTTGAGTATCTCACGGCATTTATTGAATACTGTACTGAAAGCAAAAAACAGAATGATCATATGGATACTCAAAGAACAGTTCCTACCGAATGGGTATCACTTTCGTGCCATCATAAAATGGAAAAAGTTTAAGTCAAACCATCCTAAGACAGGGACCGTCTGCATGAACAGCAGCAGTTACTGCAAACTTCATCCGGGTCAACTAAAGCGACTCGTAACATGAGTGCTATCATCACCCCATCGTTAAGATGAGGGGGCTGAGGCCCAGAGTGGTGACATAACTTGCTCCAAGGTCCCACCGCCAGCAGAAAGAAGGCTGGGCCAGAATTTAAAACAAGAGCACCCAGAATCCAAAATCCGGCTAGGAAATGCCCGTGTGCATTATTATTGACCGTAGGTGTGAGAATCTACTTCACAGACAAGGAAAGGTGTCCTTGGCTCTTGACTGGTCTCGGGGGCAGCTGTCCCCACGGAGTATCACCGCAGGTCAAGAGCATCACCCCCATGAACCTACCAATCCCCGCTCATACGCCTGAGTGGCTGCTGTCACTCTCCCCACTTTACAGGTAAGGAAACTGAGGCTCAGAGAGGTGAAAGCAATCCCCAACAGAGGTGGGATTTCGTCCCCGCCCCTGGGGGCATGTGGCAACATCTGGAGATATTTCTGGTTGTCACCCCTGGGGGTGGGGAGGTGACATCTATTAGATGGAGAGGCCAGGGACACCTATAGTGCATGGGACGCCCCACCACAAAGAATGATCCGGCCCCAAACGTCAGGACGCCCAGAGGCCCTGGGGTAGAGGGCGTGGGCGTGGGTTTACACCCTGAGCTGCCGCCCACAATGCTTATCAGGAACAATGTCACAGCAGCCCCGCCTGCCAAGTGCTGGCCGGTCTCCATCTCTCCCCCCGTGAACACCCTGTTAATCCCAGTTTGCCCACGACAGAACCGAGGCTCACAGGGGCGAACGCATTGGGCCCAGGGCGCACAGCAAGGAAGTGTCAGCACTGAGATTTAAACCGAGGCTCACCTGGTACCACCCTCACTCAGCCAAGCCCCACCCTGTCCCCAGCAGGCAGAGCAGGGTACAGCCAGGAGCAGGGCCAGCTCCAATGGGGGAGGTCCGGGCAGGGAGGAGCAGCCTCCCTCAGTCCCGCCTCCACAGCGAGCCTGAGAATATGTAAAGCAGAGAGGGAGGGAGGCTGGGCCTCCCGGGTCCTCCTCCCTTGGGTGACTCACTTCTACCCAAGGCCAAGGGGTCACCTGAGGGCCACAAGGCAAAGCCAGCCACCAGGGGCCTGGCCTGGCCTTGGGGAATCCCAAGAACCGGGAGACCCTGACCTGGAGGGCCTACCTCCCAGAATCCCCCTCTTCCCAGAGCAGCCAGGGACCTAGACCCCCACATCCGGACATTTCAATGCCTCGGGCGTTTCCGGAATCTGGACAGGACATCCGTTTGCCGGACACAGAACAGACAGGCGCACGTCGGGACAGACAGAGGGACAGGGCAGCAGGCCCAAGCAGCCATGAGAAAGGGATGACCAGGAGGGAGGAGGACAGCGGACGGGAGATGGAAAGGGCGTGGGTCCAGCCTCATTCCAGGAGCCACAGCCGGTCTGGGTCATGTGTGGGCCACGCCAAGCGCATGCATGCGCCCGGAGGGAGGGCAGGTTCCCACACAGCCCGCCCGGGCGGGGGGTGGAGGCAGGGACCCCGGCCCGTCGCGCCCCGAGGTCTGACCTTGTGTGATCGGCAACACCAGATCCGCCCAGCTCCTCGGCAAGGCCGGCAGGCCATCAGCAGGGCTGGGGGTGGGGGCGGTCACGGGGTTCACGGGGGGACACAGGAGGGACGGGACAGGTGCAGAAGGAGACAAGAACCCAGTTACACAACAACCACAGGACAATGGACTGGATGGCGAGATGCTAACGGGGACACCAGAGGTACAGACACGTCTCAGATTTGGGTCACCCAACCTAAGGAGGTTGGAGGTCAGCCCGGCCCTGCCTGTCACAGATGGGGAAGGTGAGTCCAAGGCGATGATGCCCACCAGGTGGCACAGGAAGAACCTGGCGGGGCAGCAAGCTGCCGCCAGTCCCGCGTGTGTGTCTGTGTGTTGGGGGGGTGACCCAGTCCGGCGCTGTCAGCCATGGCGCAAAGGTAGGGTTCTAGGTACGGGAGCATCCCCGGCTTGCGACCCGGACGCCGCCCACCCTGGGATAAGGTTCTACCTGACAGCCTGGAGGATGGGAGTGGGGCTCCCAGTCCCCGACCTAATGAAGTGACTCGGGCACTTCCGCCAACAGGTGCCAATCTGGGTGGCGTCGGGACCATCATAAAGCCCAGTCTCAAGGCGGAGGGTGGCCGGAGCTTTGTTGTGAGGGGGAGGGGCGCGGGCCGGGCGGCCTCCTCCCCTGCTGGGGCACCGCGCCAGACACCTGTCCCAGGTGAAGCGGCACCTGCCAGGCACCCAACGCTGGGGACGGGAATCAGCGGGGGCTCCGACAGACACCGGGACGCACAGCCAGCCAGGGACACCCGAAGTCGCGCCTCCTCCGCCGCGCCCCCTCGAATTCTCGGGGAGGGGCCGAGTCTGGGGGTGCGGCGGGGCCTCCGGGACAGCCCCCTCCCCCCGGAAGCCCCATCCGTACCCCCGCCTGCCAAGAAGGGGGCCGTGCAGGCTCCACGGTCCCGGCCCAGGGAGGGGGCGCCGGGCACTCCGGAGGCCCCCGCCCTCGTCGCCCGGGTCCGGGAGGCCCCGGCAGCGCGCGGGCCCGGGTCCCCGGCGCCGTCGGGCCGCCCCGCGGCTACGGACGCAGGTGCGCCTACCTGCACGGCGTCGCTGGCCATGTCCGCTCGCGCCGCCGGGGTCCCGCGGGAGGGAGGGCGGCGCGAGCAGCGCGCGTGCGCCCGCGCGGCGGGAGGCGGCGGGCGCGGGCGACCTCCCGCGCGGGCCCGCTCCGGCCTGCTCCGCTCCGGCCCGCCTGGCCACGCCGCCGCGTCCGCGCGCGCGCCCTCCGGCCCCAGCGGCCGCCGGGCCGTCACGTGACCCGGAGGTCGGCGCCCGGGGAGGGGGCGGGGCCGGGGGCGGGGCTCCCAGCGGCCCCCGGGGCTGCGGGGTCCCGCCTGCAGGCCCCCTCCCTCGGCGAGCGCGTCCTGCGTGCCCCTCCTCGGGCCCGCGACCCCGCGCCCCGCCGAGGGGGCCCCACTCAGCCAGCGGGCGGCACCCCGAAAGAGGAGCGAGCCCCGATACGGCCGGAGCGGCGGAGGCCTGGGCCCCCCCGGACCCTCTGAAGCCGCAAACAGCGGTGCACGCCCCTGCAGGTGCGAGCCCGGGCCGCCTGCGCCGCGGCCCCACGCGAGGGCACGGAAGTGACCCCGTCGCCCGGAGACCGCTCTGGGCAGACCTGGGTCCGCATCCCAGCGCCGGCCTGGAGGGAGCCCCAAATCTCCAAGGGCACCTCGTCTGCGAAATGGGAAGGAGGATGTGCCCGCCTCTTGGGGGTCGGTAAAATTAAATGAGACGGTGCATGCCAAGTGTTGAGGACACGCTAGGCGCTTAATAGATGTCAGTTGCTGTCGCTTGTTTCTTTCTTTCGTTATTATTTTTATTTTATTTTATTTGAGACAGGGTCTTGCTCTGTTGCCGGGCTGGAGTGCAGTGGTGTCATCATAGCTCGCTGCAGCCAGGAGTACAGGCGCCACCAGCACGCCCGGCTACTTTTTCTATTTTTAGTAGAGACCGGGTCTCCCTCTTGCTCAGGCTGGTCTGGAACTCCTGGGCTGGAAGGATCCTCCCGCCTCGGCCTCCCAGAGTGCTGGGATGACAGGCGTGAGCCACCGCGCCCGGCCTGCTGTCACTTTTAATGTTAATATCATCATTATTAAAAAGGGATCTCGAC